ACCTACAAAGTGCACCTTTGAGACTCTGGAATTTTCCCCTGCAGTCCTACACTTCCTTCTTTGTCCTCTGATCTTTTTACTCTTACAGTGTCTTTTCAGCTCCTTCTCTTTATGTCACTGGCTGATCTGTTCGGATGCTACAGGATAGCTTTGTAGGCTAAAGAGTCATGGCCTGTTGGCAGCCACTACCTAGCTGCTCTGATGTCAGAGAGAGGCCTGGCATCTGCAGCCTAAGCAGCTGAGCTGTTTTGGGGATTAACAGGATTAGGGAATTTCCCTAATAAACTATTGTTAAATTAAATCACGTAATGATTGCCAGGAAACACTATGGGTTTCCAAGTACTGTAATCCTTGTTGCTGTAGATGAGTAAGCAGTTTCAAAAACCAAGCAGAAGACTCTTTCTGCTGATGTACATGATGATGATAATACTAATAGCTGGTCTATAATTTGTTTTAAACTCCTTTTATCCTTTGAGTTCCAACTTTCTGTAGTGGTGAGCAAGGAAGGCAACAACTTGAAGATGATGATAATGATAATGTATTCCCTTATCCTCAAAGAGGAAGGGGAAACAGAGCTCTGAGTAAGCAACAGTTCAAGCCCTTGTTATATTTAATGTGAAAAGTTCTCCTACAAGTATATATTCCCTGCCTGTGAAATTCACAGTGGCAAGAAATGATTCCAGCCCTACTGCATGCCCTCCTCCCAGTGAAAGTGCTAGGATGGTGGACATGTATTCTATATTAGAGCCTGTTGTGGTCCAAGTCCAGTTTTAAGGTAAAAAATTAGTAACCTTGAAGTTCTCCAGCCACATTTATGTCTCTGCATAGCCTACTGAGCAAGCACAAAGATCACATGGTCACGGTCTGTTTAAATTAGAGTGGTTGTTTGTAAAATTGGATAGATAAATTAGCATACACATTTCCCCCTGCAAATCTGTGTCCTTTCTGCCCTCTTTTTAGATAAAGCATTTCCTCTTTTTTGGCAACATGCAAATGGCCACTCTAGTGGCATCACTCCTGCACAAGCAAAAGGGCATGTAGTCTAGTGTGTAATGTGTTGGACCTGGGTCTAAGGATTTGGTGGAACCTAGGCCTTGCAATGTCATTGACGCATCTGTGGCTTAGAAAAATTGTTACCATGAATAATGTATTTAATTCTTTATTATTATTATTATTATTATTAGTAGTAGTAGTAGTAGTAGTAGTAGTAAATTTATGCAATATCAAAGAAAACAGGAAAATTATAATGACCCGTTGTACAGGGTGAGTCCTTTAAAAGAGGCCCTGTGGATACAGAATACACATGTTCCACGGGGCCTCTTTTAAAAGACTCACCCTGTATGCATATGCTAGATAAAAAATTCAAGTCACTTTGCATGTGAAGCTGCTCCCACTTCTCTTCTTTGCTGGGAGGGAGGCCAACTTTCTGGATTATTTATTTCAGGAAAGGGCCTTTTCAGATGGAATTAATTTGTTTATCCCCATACTGTGTTGATCAGTCTGCCCTTATACCCATCAGTTGGAACTCAGTGCAGTTATACTGTAACAATTGTTGTTAATGATCAATCTGCTTGCATCTGAACTTTGGCTTTGGTTGAAAGAGAGCCCCTCCCCCCAAAGGCATGGTGGAATGTCAGCTGAAAGTGAAGGTGTGAGATCAGTGCCATATGCAGGTCAGGTGCCGCCTGGCTAATTCTTGGACGCTGCAGATTTAAGATATAGGTGCAGTATTACTCAAGAGTGCTTATTTGTGAATATCTTGTGGGTTCTGTGCATGGACAGAGATACTACTTTCTTTTTTAATTTAAAAAACCTATTAGTTTTAAAACAAATGTTTTGTAAATACATTAACAGAAAAACAAACATGGGTTTGTGGATCAGGACTAGCCCTTGGGACCAGTTGACAATGCTTAGACAGGCTAGTACTGCAGCCTGGATGGCACCCTTGAATGCAGAACAAAAGAGTGAGAAGAGCACTAGAGCACGAATAATGGAAACCCCATCCTGCCTTCTTACCTGTAAACTCACTTGCTATGAAACGAAATTCCCCTTTCACAGTTTAGGAGCAAAATTGGCCAAGGGTGGCCTGTATTGGCTGGAACAAAATGTCTAAGACATTCCCTAAGATTGGGCAAAAACTTGGACTTCCGGGTTGACGCGATCTGGAAATGGCGGATTCCCTCCGAGCTCCGGAGGGAATCGGCTCCACTGAGGATGGGTCTTTGCCGCGCCGGCGACGCGGGGACCCTTAAAACCGCAGGCGCTGAAGCCTGCGGACTGAAGACTCGGCGGGTGCCTTAAGCGCCCCCCCTGATTCGCAAAGAGCCTTTTTAAAGGCTGCGGAGGGGATACGGGGGTGGCGTGGCACTGAGAGTCGATCGCTACCTCGGTGGAGCGAAGCCGCGAGCCATGACCGGAGAGCGTTGACTTCCTTCCTTGAAAATTTGGACTGAAAGAATCACCCGTGAGTAAGACGGATTGGGACTTTTGAAAAACTTTACCTTTAATTGGAGACGACCGGGGGGTGTGCTAAAAGGAAGTCCGCACCCCCCCCTTTGCAGACCATCTAAGCAACGACACAAGAGATAAGCTGGAGAGCCTACCCTTGGTGGGGTGAGTTAAAAAGGACACTAACTTTCAAGATTTTACTAAAGGAAAATTTTGTGCAGGAGAGTGGAGTTTTGGAAACCTTCCTTCTGTTTTAAACAACCCCCCGCCCGGGCTCGGGAACGTCCTGCCTTCGTGCCTGCGTTAGAGCTGCGGAGTTTGACAGCTGTCAAAGCTGCCAAACGGGCGGTTTAAAGTGAGAAATTGCCATTTAAGATTTTTATGGACTAAGACGAGTTATAATTGAGCTGAAACTGTTGGAAACAAAGTAATAATAATCAGTTTAAGGATTGTTGGTGAAAAGGCAAATAAGTAACCAGATTCCCCCTAGGGGGAATTCTGTGAAACTACAATGGATACAATGGCTGTGGAAGGAAAGTTACTAGTGGAAATCGAAAGGATGTTTCAATTGGTGGGAATCTTACAGGAGCAGAGTTTGGCCATGAACAAACAACTTGAGACTATGACCTTGGGAACAGGCAACTCTGCTCTTTGTATTGAGGACCTCAATGAGAAAGAATCCACAGCTGATTGGGAAACAATATCTACAGAGCTGGAAGAGACTAAACAACAAGAAAAAGAAGAAGTAATCCTGGGAAGTAACAACCAAAAGTTGTCATCTGTGGAATACAAGCAAGGAGACGCTGGGAACATATTCACCACAAGTCTGCGAGAGATACAGAAGAAGAAGGAGGAGGCCCCAAGACAAAATGGAGTACAGGAATTTAAAATAAAGAAATATGATTGGGGCCTCCGTTTGGACTTAGACTTGGAAGAGATAGACTTTGTGGAAATACTTCAGCAGCCACCTTTGAATCTTCTTGTTGGAAGAGGACATATTTTGATGGTGAAAGAACTTTTCCCAGATCTGACGACTGCTGTAAAGGACTACCAACAGGACAGGCGGAGAGGAACGGAAATAGATTTGAAAGCCTCGGACGTGAGGAACCCAGGCTGAGAACTTCGAATTTGGATTTTTATTGGGAAGGGACAAAAACCGGGGATGGGAGGGAGGGAAGAAGAGACTCTTAAAAACTCTTAAGACTTTTAGGTTTGGTTAAGATGACTCTTAATTAAGATAAAATGAAAATCGATGGAAGAGAACTTAAGTCCAACTTATGAAAACTAATTTTTATCATAAAAAAAAGGAAATAAGATGAACAAGATTGTTAAGAGGAGAAATATCAACTTGCTGACATAATCTTGAAACAGGGATGCATTAGGGGGGGTGGGGGGAAGTCAGGGAACAAGGTTATGAAATGGGGATTTGCTGACTTTATATATGTTTTTGTCTTTGTTTTTTCTTTGTGTATGTTTTGTCTTTATAAAAGCAGAAAACCAAATAAAAATTTTATTAAAAAAAATAAGATTGGGCAAAAACTTGTGCACTGTGTGACTCAAATTGATAAATTCAGACTAGGCGTTTTCCTAAACCCTTCTACTTTTCAATCTAGTCATCAGGTGAGAAACATTCAGTGAGCAAAACCGTGGGGAAAGTGGACTCAAGATTGAAGTCTTGTATGTTAGTCATTGCCATTTGTTAACCTGTCCAGGGGGGCGGGAGGGGGGGGATATCACACAGTTTCCTTTCTACCTGCCAGGGATCTTTTTCAGTTCTTTTGGCACCTGAAATCAGTGCTTTTTTTCTGGGGAGTACGCAGACCCCTAAACATTTTGTGAATCTAAGTTTGGCCTCATTGAGGATCAGTATTTCAATATGAGTAGGGAAATGAGAGTACCCCTAAACATTTTTTTAAGAAAAAAGCCTTGCCTGAAATAATTAGTGCCCCATGACAGAATGATGTGTACACAACAGTTCACACATGAGAATGTCAGACTCTGAGAGTACAAATGGCTAACATTGAAGAGCTGGGCTCCTGGAGTTGCAATTCACAGCTTTGTAGAATCTTACTTTGGTCCAGAGCTTCTGTAATTAAGTACATACATATTTCCTGCTTGATGGGTTCTTGTTATGTGTTGTAGTTGCAGCTTCCAGATTACATTCAGACCTTTGCTAATTCTTTGGCACAATCAGTGTTAGGCTGATGTACTACAGGCCTCAGAAATGGATCCTATATTCCAATATGAGTGCACCTAAACTCATTGGTTTTCAATGGGTTCAGCCACATCTAAATGCATAGGATTAAGCTAATGTAGTCTGATGAACCAAACTGTATTAAGAAATAGGATAGTTTCCAGGTGTGTAATTTATTGACATGGATTGCATGCAAGTATTTAATTGCATCTAAGAGATAAATGTGCTCCAGTGTTTGGGGAACCTGATGGTTAGTTCCAAATCATGCTTGTTACTTATAGAGATTTATATGTTGCACCAGGAAACACAGGATGAGCCATCTAATATAACTCTTGCCTGGTGTTTTTCCTCCCACCAGAGCTCAAAGCCACCAGCACTGCCCATTTCTTCAATTTCCTGCTCAACTCAACCGATTATCGTATTCTACTGAAAGATGAAGATCATGACCGCATGTATGTGGGGAGCAAAGACTACATCCTATCCCTGGATCTTCATGATATCAACCGGGAGCCCCTGATTGTAAGGGTATTTCTCATTTTGTACCAGGAGCAGACAAGGAACATCTGGAAGGCTTTGTGGGGTGGAGGGCTGCAAAATGACCAACTATTTCCATGTGATGAGTATGGATTAGTAGAGTGGGTTCAGGGGCACATTTCTAGTTTTGAGAGAATGCTATGGATACCAGTCATAAAATGGCTGCTGCCAGGGGGAGTGGCTTGACACAACATTGGGAATACTGGCAATATTCCTATATATCAAAACATCAACTGATTGGTTGACCTGGGAGACCAGGGTTCAAATCACCACTTAGTTATGAAGTCCACTGGGCGATTTTGGGCCAGTCACTCAGACTAACCCTGCCTCACAGGATTTCTGTGAGGATATAATGATGAAGGGTAGAACTGTGTATGCCACCTTGAGCTGCCTAGGGAATATTATTGTGAAAATGAAAATAAATACACCCTTCAGAGCAAGAAAAACAAGACAAGTCTCAAGGCAAGTGGGGAAAGTATCTCCTTTGCCACCGCCTCCCCCACTCTAAATCAAATTCAAGGAACAGCAGGAAGGCAGTCAATGGAGCAAGTGGGGATGGCATCCCAGTTGTCTCTTCTCTGCCTACCCCCCACAATGCCCTCCAGAGCTAGAAACAGGGAAAACAGACCCATCACTGATTCTCATGGAAGACGTTAAATGCTCTTGCTATTTCTTTTTAGGGCTGATCCAGGTGATTAGTCACTGTGTACCCTGACTATATTTTGGTCTCACAAAATATATAAAAGTTTTTACAGAACTGTTAGTTTCACAGAATAAATATTCTTCATTAGACATTTTAGTTGCTTGCTACCCAAAGGCCTCCAAGCAACATATAACACCATGCTATGCAACACTATTTATGCAAGGCACAGCGGAAAGGCAAAAGTGTGATATACAGAGTCCACATGTAATTGTTGGGTGGAAGTAGCCATGCTGCAGTGGGATAGCCTTGCTGAGGAGAATCATGGCCACTTCTGTTTTCATCTGATGGGAGAAATACAGTTCAGTCCTGGAGAGGGGAAAGCACACAACACTCTTCAAATAACTTATCAACAAATTAATAAAATGCAGAGACATCGTCAGCATGAGCAGTGGCTTGCAGGGCTACATGAACATACCTGAGAGTGAGTGCTTAATTTCTAAAGAGCATTTTTAAATAAAGTTTTATTTATAAAAAGATTAAAATTAATCTTCTTAAAAGTAACAAGATGATGAAGGTGCAAAAGGAGTCACTATCACTGCTGTTGCTACAAAGCAACAATCCACTAGGTGTCTGTGACACTTCCATGCAGCATCTTGTAACAAAATTGATACATTTTTGTCACATCAAAGGGTGGGTGAATTAGTTTCTCACAAATATTGTGGGAAATGTGATACTCCCTTCACCCAAAGTGTTACCTTTAGAAAACACAAATGAACCTGACAAGTGAACGCTTGATGCCATACAAATTGATAATTTTGAAAGGTCCTTAGTGACCAGTGCTTTAAATTAAAATCCACCTTCCCAGAAAATTTGATGGTTTGGGATTAGATTTAGAAGTGGGATAGATACATCCACCCCTTTTTAATATTTCTCTTAGCATGATTCTGCGGAGAATTATAATTAAAAGGCTGAAGGTTTTGTATTGTTTTGGCAGATCCACTGGCCTGCGTCTCAACAAAGGATAGAAGAGTGCGTTCTTTCAGGGAAGAACAGTAATGTAAGTACTTCTTGTATGGTCTTCAGTTTTATAGAGGATGTGGGAAAAGAGTGGAGGCAAAGGAATGCTAGTAACGTGGTAGGATGATGAAAGCTGTCCTTCTGAAGCTTCCTTCCTCCCAAAATCTTTAAGACTGAAAGCCACCAAGCAGTGACAATTTGTATTGCTCACACCACCTCAGGGATATGCAATATGAGCAAATGATATGCCCTATTGCCTATGACTGCCCTCCTCACTTCCTGTTTATTCCTGAGTCACAAAAACCCTGGTTCCTTGTGCTGCACATTCATGTACACAAGCTAAAGCCATGGTCATAATTCCTTGAGTACCTGTACAAAAGTTTCCAGCATTTGAGCAGAAACATTTACGTCTGTGTGGGTGTTTCAGAAACCCTAAAATACAACACAAATTTTAGTATGTGATGAAGTGACAGTGCTCTGTTTGTAGTTGGAAAAGCTAAAATAGCAAAGACGGAATTAAATAGAAAGATTTTGAAGAAAATGACATCACCATTGTAAAACTTTGCTAGTTTCTGGAAGCTAAAGTGCAGTGCAGTTGGTGATGAAGTCATCTTTTGGTCACAGGGTTCTGCTTAGCACTGGAATTGAGTGCAGCTGTAAACTTGCACCTCCCAACCTCTATTACAAGAGGATATAATCATGGCCAAGTTAGCCAACTCTTGTGTCTTGTGCAATCTTTCTAAAGGCAAGGGCTGCTAACACTGCTAGGGGGTTGTGGAATATTTTTTGTTTCAGACCTTGCAGATACTTGACAAGATGGAATGTTTTAAGAGGTGGCAGAAAGATATCTCGAAATTTGTCTGGCAGGGCAAAAAGCCCAGAATCAAATTTAAAATATTGACAGATGCTAAAGAAAGAGGGGGTTTTGCCCTGCCGGACTTAAAATTGTACTATGAGGCAGCAGCGTTTTGCTGGCTGAAGGAATGGATGCTCCTCGAGAACACAGACATCTTGGATCTGGAAGGTTTTAACAATGTTTTTGGTTGGCATGCATATGTATGGTATGACAAAATTAAGCAGCATAGTGCCTTTAAAAATCACATTGTTAGAAAAGCATTGTTTAATGTATGGATGAGATATAAAGATCTGTTGGAAAACAAAACCCCTAGATGGGTGTCACCAGTCGAGGCTAAAGCAGTAAAGAAACTCAATATGGAGGTCGGATGGCCGAAGTATTGGGAAATTTTGGAACAGGATGGAGATAAGTGGAAATTACAAAGCTATGACAAATTGAAACATAAAGTACAAAACTGGCTTCAATATTATCAAATAATGGAGCTTTTCAAACAGGACAGGAAAATTGGCTTTCAGGTGGAAAAATCAAAACTAGAGATTGAACTGCTAGAACCCAATACTAAGAATTTATCAAGAATGTATAACTTGTTGTTGAAATGGAATACACAGGATGAAACGGTGAAATCAGCTATGATTAAATGGGCACAAGATATTGGTCATGACATTATGTTTGCTGACTGGGAACAGTTATGGACCACCGGTGTTAAGTTTACGGCATGTAATGCCTTAAGAGAAAACATAATGAAAATGATTTACAGGTGGTACATGACCCCAGCCAAGCTTGCAAAAATTTACCATTTGCCCGATAACAAATGTTGGAAATGTAAAGAGACTGAAGGTACCTTCTATCATCTTTGGTGGACATGCCCGAAGATTAAGGCTTTCTGGGAAATGATCTATAATGAAATGAAAAAGGTACTTAAAAGTACCTTCTCTAAAAAACCAGAGGCCTTTCTCTTGGGCATTGTCGGCCAATTGGTGCCAAAGAGGGATAGAACTTTTTTTATGTACGCTACAACAGCAGCAAGAATACTTATCGCAAAGTATTGGAAGACACAAGATTTACCCACTCTGGAAGAATGGCAGATGAAAATGATGGACTATATGTCATTGGCTAAGATGACAGGCAGAATACGTGACCAAGGAAAAGAGACGGCGGAAGAAGAATGGAGAAAATTTAAAAGTTATCTTAAGGACTATTATAAACTTGATGAATGTTAGAATGTTATGGTTTTCAGAAACAAAGGGATACAGTGATATAAGGTCAGATTATAGAGATAACTAAGGACAGAGGTTGGAAAGTAATATTGGGAGTTGCTATAAAACTATGGACATTGGGATGCAGAAAGGGGGGGTATGGGGGAGTCTGAGAAAAGAGGGTTATGAGAAACAATATGAAATTATGCGTGTTTGTATGTTTTTTTTTTTTAAGTGTTTGTTTGTCTTTAAAACTTTGTAAAACCAATAAAAAATTTTTTTAAAAAAATAATAATAGGGGGTTGTGGAATATTGATGTATGGCACATGAAAGTGAAGATGCCTTGTCAGCAGTACTTTAAAGGAACTGGGGGTTTTGCCCAACCCCAGTTAAGTCTATCAGCAGTAACATGTACTGAATTTCAGCAGGAGGAAGCAAGAGGTCAAAGGGTTACCAAGCTGTTTCCTACAAGGCACAGTCAGCCTTTGGCCAGCTGACCTTGAACTCTGTCCTCTTGGGATTTCTCTGCTGCTACTGTTTGGGGCTCAGTCTTAGAGCAGCTAAGCTGGCTTAGTAAAGGAAACTGTTTGCTTGCATTTTTCCCATCCTACTGAACTCTGTTATCATGGCCCCAGCCCAGTACTGTTTTGATTTGCCTAACTGGAGGTTTGAGGCAAAGAGGAAACATGAGATGTGAGAAGGAAACCGGACTCTACAGTCAGACACACTGCATGGAGCTCCACGCCTAGTCTAGAATCCAGTCAGTAAATGAACTCAGGCCTTGACAACACAGGCCTGCATACATTCTGGGAATTGCTCTTCTTGCCCTCTGGGCCTCACTGCTATCATTTACCTATTAGTTTTCAGTCCACCCTTCTGTAGCCAATCAGTTCTTACTACCTCTTAATGTGTGGGAATCTAAAGGCTGACCTTAATATATTTTCTTTCCTGGCATAGATAAGTCCAGAGATTCCCCTTCTGCTTAGTTGGTTATGCTTTGGTTATTCAGGACACTATTTTCTGGCTTTTGAAAACAAGCAGGAATGGGCTGGGAGTCCAGGATTTGCCACCCTGACACCAAGATATATTATTGCAATCTTACAGTTATTCTTTTCTCAGTTTTCAGAAAAATTGGCTGTGAGTTGGGAGTTCTGAGCGGCACCGTTTATAATCTGCTTCAGCTACAGATGTTGCAGTGTAAGATGTGAGCAAGGAATGTTTGCTCCGGAAGGGGGTTTAGTTCAAAACTCTTCCAACCGGAACATGACTTAAAAGGAGTGCAGGAAAATTGTCTCTGAAGTGCATCCAAAACTCATTGCTGGAAAAGGTGTTGGAGGGGTAGATCCAAAAGGTTTATTTGTGGATTTTCAAAGTGCGCCAGACCTAGCTTGCCTCAATTTTAACTGGAAGCAAATGTTGTTGAAGAGGACCATTTGATACACAGACCATTCCATGTGGTCTGATTTTGTGACTTACTGGGTGTTCAGGGAGCTTTCATTTAATGCTGAAGCAATTACCTGATTGCTTCAAAATATGTGTAAATCACTGCTTAGGCCATGCTGAACAGAGGATGGAATTGCTCCATTTACCATAGGCTGACTAATCTCCTTAAAGTAGATACAATTTCATAGGAGGCTGGGACTAACTTGCCATCTCTCTTTGTTTTCCAGGGCGAGTGTGGGAATTTCATCCGCCTTATCCAGCCCTGGAATCGAACCCACTTGTATGTTTGTGGCACTGGAGCATACAATCCTGTCTGCACCTTTGTCAATCGAGGCCGTAAAGCACAGGTGAGGTACTGAAGGAGCATATGGCTGGGACTGCAGCCAGATCAGTGCTGGAGAAGCATATGAGCTTGCTCTTAGACCATGCTAGGAAAGCAGCCTCTGGCAACATTCAACAAGCAATAAGGGATTGAGATTCGAGTCTTGGGTAATGAGATGTGGAATCTTCTCAACTGTCTTATGTTTGTATGTTTGTTCAGCCCATTCATATCCCACTTCTCATCAAAGGGAGGCAAAGGCTGCATACATGAATCTCCACCCCCCCCCACACCTTTACGTGGCTCTCATTTATCATCCCAACAATTCTGAAAGGTAAGTTAGGCTCTTAGGGATTCACCTAACCATCCCCGTCAGCAGAAGTCCTGCACAAGGAATTCCACTTTGCACAACAGGGCTTTTCACACACACACACACACACACACACACACACACACACACTTATTCTGACAAGGAGATGGAGCTCCAGGTTTTGAAAAAGGTAATGGGGACAGTGAAAATATCAAAATAAAACATGTAGACATAGTGTTTCCCTAATAATAATAATAATAATAATAATAATAATAATAATAGGGTAGGAAGAGATGAGGTGTTGGGATCATATATAAAGTAATTTGTAACTAGGTCACAAGAAGCATACTGTGTTATTACTTAAATGTATTGTTTTAAGCGTCTGATATTATCAGTAATTTTAATATATATATTATGGAAACCACTTAGAGGTTTTGATGATTAAGCATTATTTAAATCACATTAAATACATAAAGCCTAATCTTAGTAATCCCCCACTGTGCAGAATGAGACTTTCTCCTAAGTATGGGAGTAAATGTATAGAATTGTAGCCTTAATTTGTGATAACCATTATGTCATGCAAGACCCTCCATGTCACATAAAATTTGTCAGACTTTAACGGGTTCTCTAACTTGGAAATATGCCATATTTTACTGAACCATTTCCAAATTTATGGAATCTTATCTGATTTTTATTTACTGGTAACCAGATTTTTGGCTGTCATTAACATGTTCCCAGTTAGCTAATAATTGCACTTGTTTACGGAATCTTTCAATACAGACAAGTAAAATAACCTCTGGTTTTAATGGAATTGTCTATCATAGTCATTTCCGCCCAGTATGCCTTGGGGGACGCACACAAAATATGTGTGAAATTAGCCTTATTGTTACAACACCTCTAACATTGTGTGTTCCTTATATTATATTTGCTTAAACTGTCTAGTGTTAGCATCAAATCTTTAAAATAATACAAGGAGAATCTGCTTGCATAGGTGTGAATATATTTTCCACATTTATTTTATTTTCTGACAACAACTTAAAAATAGGAAAACCAATTGAAAACCACTTTTGTAAATGCTCTTCTTACAGTATCTTGTTTAGCAGGAGTAGCTAAACCTCATTTCAGGGTCTTCTCTAGCCCCCAAACTGATTTCTGCCTTCCCACCCCCAACCCCATCCCACTAATTTTAGCAGCAGAGGCAATATGTTTTTGGGAGCGAATGCATAGTTGTACATAAAGTCAAACCCAACAAGCAGATACACATTCAGTCTAAATACAGGTCATAAATATTTGACGAGGGGATTTTTGATCTCCATAGAAGTATGTGTGTATATTTGAGAGAGACAAAAGACTTCTGCATGCTGCATTCTCTGGCCATACCCTGCCATTCCTGCTTCTCTGGCAGGTCACCCTGCCAGCGCTAACTCTCTGCTCCTCCTCTCCTCAGGCTTTTGAGCTGAACCAGTCCATCCAGCAGGGAGGACGGGGAAGTAGAGCAGTTGACTCCTCCCTCCACCCGTCTCCAGTGGAACGCAAGGTGGGAATCGCGCTCTGCCCTGCCATGCTCTTCCCCAAGGACACAACTGGCTCCTTTCTTAGCATGCCTGAGCCTGGGCACTCTAACTTTCATTTTCAACTGGCATGTACCTAACAACTAACTAACAAGGGAAGGGGGCCAGACCTATGGAAATAGGACTGGCCCTTAAATTCACCCCCCTTCCCATCTAGCAATGAGCGCGCTTCCTGTACCGCCTCTCCTTGCGTCTCCTCACTTGAACTAACTCCTTCTTCCCCAGGCTCGCACAAGGTTTGTGCCAGGAAAGAACACTCTCAGGATGTTTGACCTTACTACATATAGTATAGAACCATGTCCTTGACTGTTTGAAATTGAGACAAATGGGTTTGCTGTTTCAAGCAAAGGTTTGCTTGATGTGAGGTGGCATGAATAACTAGATTGGAGTAATCAAGGTTGTGATGACTGTGGGAGCAGCGGGTGGGGTGGGCCTATTGTATAAGCTTAGTTGTTGTGAGGAGTGTGGACTTTATTAATGATTACATACAGTTTTTGTAAGTATGTTTGCTGAGAAATCATGTAAAAAAAGAAAATGATGAGAAAATGTGTTTTACTTGTGTATCGGATGTAATGTATGCTTCTTCTACTGATTATTGCAAGTCATAGCCAATGCAGGAAGCCATCCCATTAATTTCCTTTCCAGTTTTCTCATTGTTGTCATTTAATTGATAAGGACGACCGTTAGTTGGGAGGAGATTATGAGATTTCCATTAGTCTCTATTAGTAGAAACTTTGTGGGCATGGTCCTTCAATTGGCTAAAGACTTTGGTGTGGGAATGAACTATTTCAGTTGCTCAGCTCGTATGGTTTCCCTCTAAGAAACATTATCAAAGCAGCATGGAATCCAGCCATGTGGCAATTCCTACATTGCTCTGTGAACATAGGAATTGGTCCTAATTAACAGAACCCTTTTTATGTCAGATAGTATTAAGGATGGTATGTTTCCCCATTTACAGGGTAGTGCTGAATAATTAGATTGATTGAGAGGTTGAGCTCCTAATGTGGATTTGTATGGGACTAAAGCCTCCTTTCACTCAGCAGTAGGTACTCTCCCATGTGTGTTCAAGATGGTGCACAAAAAAAGAAGACAGGAAATGCTATATGCTATTCTTGTCAAGGCTGAATAGTCTTGGTTGGAGTGTTTGAAACTTTCACAAGAAAACAACTGAACCTAATCTTGAGAATCTTAACTTTCCTTAAGGTTTTGGTGTTGCTTGATTGTAAATTGGAGAATCAGCCTAAAATGTAGTGCTCTGGTTTCTTAGCATTTTCTTCCTTTTGTTGGATTCTCTAGTTTTGATAATGCCTTGTCTTACCCCTGGAGTCATCCTGGTAGCTGTTTTCATCTGCAGGGCCTTATTCTGTGCTGCTGAGCTGTAGCGGGGTCATTGTCAAAGACATTATTATTATTATTATTATTATCATCATCATCATCATCATCATTATCATTATTATCATTATTATTATTATCACTACTACTACTACTATTACACAGTGTATAAGTAACATTGGGTTTTCTTTTTTCTTTTCTTTACTGAATGTTCCATTTTACACTTCAAAACAGAAAACTCACAAGTGGCACAATCACTTTTGCATTTTCCACAAGAAGCACACTTTTTCCTCAGTGCTGAACAATGGCATTTGACACCAAAGCAGTCTGCCCAAAAGAGCCCAAAAGCTCTAAATAAACAGGAAGTGCAACTCCTAAGCAAAATCATCTTTCCAGAAAGAATGCATGTCTAGTGGGTTTCCTAAACAGGTTGGCACTCAACACTGCTTGTGGGAAGATGTGCCACACACACACACACACACACACACACACACACACACCATTCTCAGTTACTATACAGAGACTGAAAGTCTTCCATTCCAGTTCTTTTATTATTTATTGCATTTATTAGTAGGAAAAGAAGTTCTCAAGCTGACTTAACAGCATGGTATGACATGTTCCTCTAAGGGCAACACCTTAAACTACAACTAGGTGTAATTATCTGTAGGTATAGCTGCTTAGCAGCCTGCATCTGCTGTCTGCAGGATTTACTAGAACTATAGTTTTGTGTGTCAACACTTGGTCTCATTCAAAAGCCAGCTTTCATTTTCCTGCTTTTTGTAGCTTGAATCTCCAGCTTCTACTTGATGTGCTATTTATATTATCACTGATTGCTATTAGCCAGTTAAAATGCATTGCACAATGTCAGGAGCCATCCTAGTTTCCTCACTCCCTTGGGCATTGTCACCATGTGTTTGACATACATTAGAAAGAGGAAGCAAGTCTTCACTGATATCCTGCCACTGTTGACCTCCCAAGCTGTTAGCACAATGAGGTGGGGAAGAGAGTGGGATATATCAGATGATGAGAAGTTGCAAAGGGAATGGTGTAGAAAACACACTTGTCACATCCTTCTGCAGTCTGGAACCCTTCAAGCCTCCTTTTCTATCTTTTGGTAAATTGCAGATCCCAACCACCACCTGTGGATGAAACCTATAACGACACCAAATAATACAATTTGTGACATTCCCATTAGTACAACTCTTGTAAACTGTGTTGTGCTTAAACTTCAAACAGCTGTTGTATCCCAAACATATCAGTCATGTTCCATTTATTTGTATGCTATGTAAAGAAACTGCATTTGCACTTGTCTCCAGTCAAGTGGACTTCTATGGACAGGTGTCCCTATCCCCACTTTAATAAAGAATCCTTGCAACATTTAGTGCTCTTTTCAAAGTCATCCAGTGAAATCCCAAGAGTGCCAAAGGCTTTAGCAAAATAATCAGGAGTCTCAAATTATGAATCAGAGACAGAGATGCAGACAAAGCTAGCTCAGGTCAGGTTCCAGATACAAACACAGGAAGCTCATAATGCCCACCTAAATGCATAGTGGGGAAAGCACTTATTAACTGTAAGATATATGCAGCATCAAATCATTTGGTGAAAGTAAAAAATAAATTTAGAGCTGAGACAAATTGAAAGGAATTGCAAAAGAAGAGGGTGCTTGTGTGGCATTAAAATGTCATCAGGTTTGATGCACCACCACATCAATGCCCTTTCCTCCACAGCCACCTGCTCCACCTCAGTTGACTAGAACTGAGCCCTGGCTAAGGATGTAGAGGCTGGGTAGGCATATGTGGAGGGAGGGGGTTATTTTGGGACCCTGGTCCCAAGCCAGTTAGACCCCTGCACTTTCTTACAAAAACCTGGCATTATTCAAGTGTCTATATCTAGTGAGAACTCTTTGGATATGTGTCTGTGCTGGCATTAGCTGGTATTTCTGGCCCCCACGAAGCTGTATGCTGGGACCACAAATTCCCTATGCTCATATTCATGTCTGTTCTTTTATCTCATTCACTCATCCCAACTCTGGTTCCTTATGCTGCTGACTCAGCCCATTCTGCTAAAAGTAGCTGACTTTAGCCATTCCTCAGGTGAAAGATGAACTACAGAAAGGGGTTTATTCTGTCCAATCCAATCCATCTTGAAGACAGCATCAGCACCATTTACCAAAGATCAATAGGGTGAATGCTGTCAAAAGAATGAACTCAATAATAGTCTGTGTTAAAAATATTTGAACCGTGTATCTCACACTCCATATCTATTCAGTCCTTACACCACCCCATTCTTAAAACACAAAGCCTTTAAACTGCTCTGCTTTCCATTCGCTGGATGGGGGGGGCCCTGAAAAGTTCTCACTTACATTTTTGTAGGAATGATCTGTTAATAAATAGCCACAATTCTAGAACAGTAGCTGCACAATAGCCATTTGGACCCTATTCAACAAAGGAAGACGTTTAGCTTAGAAAAATAAGGGACAGTATCAGTAGTAAATATTTTTCATGGCCAATACAGATATAATAAAATATTTTAACAGACTTTTGTTTTCTTTAAAACATGCTGAAGTCATTTTTGTGACATTTTAATAAAAACATTTTGGATAAAATTATATGAACAAATATGTATACTTCCCAATAAATCAATAATATAAAAATAAGTCTGTTCCAGCTAAAATTTACATCTCATTTAACAGAAGCTATTTAACAGTTCATGCCAATGTTTGTCTACTCAGAAGTAGGTCCAACTGAGGGTACTTTCAGTTGGATGTTTATTGTGGGATTATTGATTGATTGATTGATTGATTGATTGCCACATTCACATAACATTGTCAGCATCAAAATGTTAGCCCACATCCTCCTCACTCCAAATTAATCTGCATAGACCCTTTCTAGAGGAAATCTGATATATACCACCTGTTGCCAACAATCTTGTTTGCAATAGCTCAATGACCTGTTTTCATATTAAACTCCTGTCTGGAAGCAGGGGCCTACTCTCAAGTAGGTATGTCAAGTTCTGCAACCTAAGCCACTCCCATCAAAATAAATGGGAATTAAAAGCAGTGCCATATTAAACCCTGTGGAGGCCCCTAGGCAGTCGAAATCTTGTCCTTCCCCCTTGTGCATGCACTCTAATGGGATAATATTGAACTAAGAAAACTTGATTGTAATTTTCTTCCAGATCAAATCAATATTATTTTCATCCGTTGTTGCAGGGCCTCTAAAATGCATGAGGCCCAGAGGTCAGTGCCTACTCTCCGCCTGTTTGGTAATCTGGCACTATTTAATAGTGCTTAACATTGGCAGATTAGGTTTAATGTTTTTATCAAACCACAAGAAGTATTTTGTGGGAGGAAACCTCTTAAACCTTTTCACGGCATTTTTCTTTAATTTCTAAATGGCTTCCAGCCCACTAAAGCAGTGATTTCCAAACATTTCATTAAAAAGATCCACTTGTGGGATTTCTTTCCCAAATGTTGATTCTACCACCCTGGCTTGGCAGTCTCTTCTCCACTGCTCCTTCTGCCGCATTGGCACCTACAAGCATTGCCAGCGTCCTAGCAACCCTCTTATAAGGCCAGAAGTGGATCCCAGTGTACTGCTTGTGAGTCACTGGAGTAATGAGTCATTAGTTTCATGATAGGAGGGATTCAAATGGCATTCACTCACTCTGCGCTTCTCAGCAATATTTAAGGCCTGCATCCTATCTGCTCTGCTTGTAGCTGTTGGTTGTCCTCTAGGGCGTGGGGGGAAATGTGACATCCGTGATTTATTGTTGTTTCATACTCAGAAGAGGTTGTAGCACAGGGTGTCTGAAGGCAATCTGAAGTTCATCAGTGTCTAGGTACTACTTAGTAATAATATGTGGTAACTAGACACTTACCTGTAGTGTTCACACATTACAGCACACAGTTGTTTCACTTCACCCAGTGGTCATACCCAGTGGAAAAAGTCTGAAAATGTAATGTTGTGTGCAAACATTGCAGGGAAAACGTTGAATCTTTGGCTAGAATGTTACGTCCAGTGTTTCTTGAGATGGAGAGGTCCAGAAGTATGAATTTTAGGAATGGGTTTGTAAAGTAGCACCATGCGGATAAAGATGGTGGGATACACTATTTTTATATTAATGTGTTTTGGTTTTTTTCATTTACAGAACAGGTTTCTTTAGGAGGAGAAATGTTACTTCTGCAACTTTAAAATGGGACACATATTTGGGAGGGGTGCAAAAGAGTTAGAAAGTGAATGTTCCTGTAAATCGGTCAATGCAGTAGCTTTAGAGAGTGGCTCTGCTGCCACATTTCTTAGGGTTGACTTGAAATTGATATAAAACTTGTAAGAGTAGCATGTATACAGTACTGCAGTTGCTAGGGTGATGTTTGCACCAGCTTTCTACATGTTTGGTAGTGATTTTTCTCCATGCCTCCACAGGGTCTCTGAACAAAATGAAGTCTGTAGTGGCATGGAAAAAATAGCTTTGCATGGTGAGGTAATGAACTCACCAGTGAGTCAGCCACCATTGAAAAATGATTTAAAGCAGCTTCCATGGGGTAGACATATTACATGCCAGGATTTCTTACATTCCACTGCTTATAACCTTGTTGGACGAAAATTCCACTCCAGAGAGATGCGGTTTGGACAGTGTGATTCATGTATTCAGCATCTTGTATTCCATGTACTTTTAGATGCTCTCTGATTAAAAAGAGTTGTGAAGGCCTAAGGTAATAGTGTGTGGTAAAGCAAATCATTGATCTACCTGTTGCCTTACTTTCCAGGATTACATATTCTACCTGGAACCAGAGAAGCTTGAGTCAGGAAAAGGAAAATGCTCGTATGACCCAAAGGTGGACACCGTATCAGCATTAATAAGTGAGTTCCATGGTTGTGCAACATCAGTCATTCTATAGGCATACAATTGTAGAGTTGGAAGGGACCCCCAGGGCCATCTAGTCCAACCTTCTGCAATGCAGGAATCTCAACTAAAACATCCATGACAGATGGTCATCCAGCCTCTGTTGAGAAATTTCCCTCTTTATGAGTTCTAAAACGATATCAGGATTGATAAGGGGGAGGGGGGCTATGCTACTTATAAGCATGCAACGCAACAGCAGCTCTGTGTCAGGAAATGGTTTTGGCCATCCTCGGGCATGGATGAGTTAGCTGGAAATGTCATCGGAGTTAATGGGGAAAGATCATGGCCTCTCGGATGCTGATAAAGAAGAAAAAGGACATACTGTTCACTAAACTGCAGTGTCCCATCTGGTGGGAGAAGAGGAGGAATAGGGCTTTGGCGAATAGCAAAGTTCTGAGAGGTTCCTTGGCAAAATTTCACAGATGACATTTATGTCACTTTGTTATGGTCCAATCATTTCCACTTATCCATCAGACATGATTATTCCTCCCACTGCCCTAGCATTCCAAAACAACACAATGCCTGAGTGGCCAGCTATATTCACATATAGTCAGCTATATTCTGACTTAAGCCAGCTGCAAATTTCATACAGACCCCTCTACTTCCCTTGAGAAACCTGGTCATTTCCATTGGTCATGCTAGAGTTACCAATGTATATTTTACTCTTCCCCTTTAATATCTGTATATAAATATGTCTTTGAATGTTCTCATCTTCTTGGATTCTTATATCCTTCCCTCACCACATAGACCCACCAGGTTGATTTCAAGCATGGACATCCTCTGAACTTTGTCCTGTGTGGCCATACCATCTCCCGCAGGGCCCCTCCATCTCCAGTTCGAATGGTGGCTCAAGCTCCACAGGGCTTTCCCCTATGTGGAGGGCTGGGATTACAAAACTTCACAGCAGGGAGATAATGAGGAGTGGTATCATTGTCCTGCTGACCCTGGGCCTACTACTGGCACAACAGCTGCACCACTCTCCCCTAAGAGTCGGTTCCAGTGCTGGCCAAAGTTCTTTCTTCCTGCAAAATCCCCCAACCCCTTGATATGGCCTGGCTGCCTCTGATCTTCTCCAAGCATTAGTATCCATTTACACGACAAGCCCAAAACTTCTTAATTAATCTGAAAGCAGCTGCAGCACTGGCCTGAGACAGGCAGGAATTGTGCCCTTGTACCAGTGGGTTCCTGGCTGGCTGCTGGACCTGCTTAGCAGCTTTGCTAATGAACTTAGGTTCATTTCTGTAAGCCTTACTAATTTCTGTATAAGAGATTCAGTGCAGCGGTAGGGAAACTATGGAAGGGCACCTAACAGTTCATATGTTGTGCATGACTAATAATCTTGATCCTTTTCTCCCCTGCCTTTGATCATTATGAGGTTTCTTCTATCAATGAAAGGTCAGAGCAACAAGAAAGGGCCCCTTCTACAGAGACCTTGCTTTCCCCTTGTCGTTTCTTTTCATTCCCACTCTCCAAGAACAATTCACGCAGATTCCAAGTTTGATCTCACACTTACTACCAAATAGAATCACCATACCACCCCCCCAAAAAATTCTAGCATTTAATTAATTCATCCTTAAATATATAGCCGTTCCATGCTGACAGCAGCTTCAGGCATGACCTGAATGAAGTCAGGAGACCAGGAAGTGCAGGTGCTTCGCTCTTTTCCTTTCCCCACATCTCTTATCCAGTGTTACTCAATACAATAATTATTGTGCATGGACAAGAATTAGGAGATACAGTCCCCCTTTACTCTTTATTTCATGTTTTAATTACAAATTTCTGAATTCCCCTGAGTATTAGCACCTAAAGCATCTGAGTTAAGGGCGGGGAACTTCTTTTCCTCTAACTTCTAAGTTTGTCTGTAAGAATTGTTGGTGATGCCACCAGAGTGGTATGACATGGAAAGGCTGCATGTTTTTGCAAGGGAGAAGATGGGGAAAAGAGCACAGAACAGGGTAACCCTAAACTATTTAAACTATATTAGGTGTGAAGGGCAGTTGATATACCTAGGGTCAAACTAGATGAGATGCAGGAAATCTGTGATTGGCTCTCTTGAAGTTTCTTGGGTTTTAGGTGGTGGTGGTTTTTTTAAAGCAGCTGCGGGGGCCCTTGAATGGAATGAGGCAGTGGCACTAGGGGAGGGATTAATCCCCCCCCTACACACACGGATTTCCCAGTCTAAATCACATTTCCCCTCAAAGCTGAGGGGAAAAAATATATGGCTGCCTGTATACTATTTTCCCCTATCAGGCAAATAGTAGAAGTGGCTGCAGTTTAGACAAGAAAAAGGTCTTGGTTAAATTCTCCCTCCTCTGAACACTGTGTTCAGAGGTTGTGTGTGTGAGAGAGGAAGATGGAGAGAGAAAACTCTAATCAGAGCTTTCTTACTGAGTTTGAGAATGAAAGGACTACAGAAGGAGGTGAGTTTCTCCTTTTCCTACCCATTTAAGAGTTCAGAGCAAATGAATGAACGTTGAGGATCTAAGAGAGACAATGGTTCCAGTTTCATAGTCTGGCAATACTGTCTGTGCCATCCATGCCCAAAACAGAACTTTGCATTATTTTCTCACATGGAGATGTACAAACCCCTGGTGCACAACTTTTTTTGGGGGGTGGATGGAGGTGGGAAAAGAAGAAGGTTGAGGTACTTGTCTTCACATCATTGTTCAAAGTGCCAGTGAGTAGCTTCCCTGTTTCTGTAGGTATCATTTAAGAAGTGAACCATTCCAGGCATTTCATATATTTTCCCCCATCCGTCTCTTTCACAGAACCAGTGGGGTGAGTGGTTGGGAATCCTGCCTCAACAAAACTCTCAATTAATTTTCTTCCCCCTACCCTCTGTTGCCCACAGATGAAGAACTCTATGCTGGTGTCTACATTGACTTCATGGGCACTGATGCCGCCATCTTCCGCACCATGGGCAAGCAGACTGCTATGAGGACTGACCAATACAACTCCCGTTGGCTAAATGGTGAGTGAAAGGGGGGCAGACTGCAGAGTTTGAAGTGCAGAGGACAAAAAGCAAGGCTGCATTCATGATCTTCGTGTCCAATGTCCATGCTACATGGAGGGAATTGTGACTTGGAGCACAGAGTTTCCCTCTCTTCTTTCCTCTCTCTGTTTCAGAATATTATTGTAAGAAAGAAAATGTGAATAAAAAGAGGCTTTAGTAAAGAAAACATTATACTAGCAGGAGCGTTAACCAACAACCCCCCTCCCCTTTGACTTCAAGTTCCTTCTGTGAGTGCACACTGTTCCATGGTGACTTCTCAAGTCTGGCTTCCTGAGGGCTTCATGCCAAGTCATACCAGCTGCCTACAATTGGTTTCTTTTATCTGTCCATATATAGCCAGCTCAGTGGGCTTTGTTGTGGATGATGGAATCTTAATTTAGCTCTCTGGACCCCCTTTCTCATCCTGGTGCCCTTTGAGTCTCCTTTGCTGTTACAGTGTCCCCATGACACCTATCATGCCCTTCTTCTGTACTCCCTTGTTTTCAGTCCTTGATACTTGATTTTGCTGTTGCCTTGTCCTTGCACTGTCACTTGTCCGTACTTTCTGTCTAGCTCCCAGGACACCAGGAATAGGGCTCTCCTGCCCTGTTCATGCCTTGCCAGCCTTAATAGATATGAAATGCTCCATCTATGTGGAACACGAAATACAGAATCTGCAAGTGTTCCTACTTCATTTGGGCTTTGTAGAGCACATCACTGAAGAAGTCATTGTCTTCTAAAATTTTCTTTCCATAAAGAAAATATATGTGCTAAGTTAAGACATATGGTCATTTCAGGAATGTGTTGGTATTTGACTAGTTTCTCTTTTTGCTTAATTCCTTGGCTCTGGTATATGTCCCCTTTTGTGCGTTCAAAAGCATTTTGCTCCTGGAATTATTTCTCTACACACAGTTGGTGGTGAAGGGCAGGTTTGTATTCTTGTCATTTCTGATAACTGATCCAGGGCATTTAATCTCCTGCCCTCTCTCCGCCAGCATGCATCATGGAAAGGGATCCAATGAGAGAAGGTCTCAGCTTCCTTTTTGGTTGCACCTCCAGCTGTTGTGAAGCAGCAAAAACAGCTGAGTAAACTGGGGTTGGGAATCAAATTTAGGGAGATGTCATTTTAGTAACCCGAACAGAGCTATCTATGAAAGCAAATGCTGGATTATAAGGGTGACCATTTGCCTTCCATGGCAATTCTTTAGCAGTGATGGCTCTAGAGAAAATACCAACATATCCCCAAATTGCAGAGCTTCCAAGATATTCTTACAAAAGCTTTTAAGGCAGACAGGTGTGCTTGCAGCCACATAAATCTTACAGCTCCCCACCCCCACCCCAAAGCAAGGGAATGCTTGGTACTAATGATGAAGGTTACTGACATTAGACTTATGAACAGCTCAGGCCCAGAGTTTTTCAAAGTATGGTACACAGCTTCTCTTGGATGGATGCATAGAGTTGTGTTCCTGACAACTTATGTTGGTGTTACCTCAGCACACCAACGTTATGTGGGTGCAGGAATTTGGCAGTAGTATGTGTGTAAGAAAGCAGTAGTGTATGTGTGACAGAAAGTAATATGGGTGTAACTTGACCGGTAATATGGGTGTGTCACTAGATGAAACTCCCCCTGTTCTTACACAGGAGAGGCCTCGACTTAACTATTCATAGTAGGGTTTATATTTAAGTAGAGCAGCAAGGCGTTGCACTTGTGTCAAGGCTGCCCAGTGTCCACTTACTCCTGTGGTTGCCGTATTTCAAAAAATAAAAACCAGGACACCCTGAAAGTTGAGGTTTTTTTTTTGTTTTTTTACAAAAACGCCAAGAAAACATGATTTTTCAATTGACTTTCCTAAGATCCAGGACACCGCCGCCTTTCAGAGGTTCCCCCCGGGTGTCAATTCAGCATTTGAAATCCTGGTAATGTCTGGGAAAATCCGGACGTATGGCAGCCCTACTCACTCCCCACCTAGAGGATGAGGATAAGGCACTTCTGGAACAAAACTGTATGTTTCTTTACAGAGAAACTTTTAGCATTATTTTTCAGCCAAGTTTCAGGTAGACTTTTCCCACTTAAAATGGTTATCAGTGTTCTAACCTGCAACACCCACTCAGCCCCTTCTAGGATTTTACTTCCCCTCAGGGAATCAAGACCAGTTTGCTCTGCCTGGCTAACCCCTCTCAGACAGTTAACCATCTGCAACTGCCCACACTGGCTTTTAATTTTTCTTTCACCGAGAGTCAAATCTCTATTTCACTGCTAAAACTGTCAGCATCTAACTTAAACTCCACACTCTCTTTCCTGATTTTCTGATGGACTCACCAGCTCTCACTGGTTGCTGGGTCATTAGGAGGCAGACCCAGGGCCTGTCCATCACAGTATGAGCTGGTTGTCTGGGAAATAAGATGATGTGAAAGAAGCTGGGCAGGTGAGATTTCCACATGAGTGAGGGACATGTAGTGTGGGGCAGGCAGCACTTCTCTAGTACTTTTTCCCCAGTAGGAGAGAGGATGTCATCCATAAGACTGGGATTTGCCAGTGCTGCATGCTTGCGGGGTTGGAAGGCAGGACATGCTGTATTCATTTATTTACCTGGCAAGAGCCTTTCTTGCACTGTTTTAAAATGGGCATCTGTTTTTTACATTAAACGTATGTTAGAAAGCAGCACAATTGTCCCACAGCCTGTTACAAACAGTTCAAAATGAACCTCAGCACCATATAAAAAGGCTGCGCATTACATTTTGCTTGGTGTTATTAAGGTTTAATGTTTTACTGTGTTTTTATATATGCTGGAAGCCGCCCAGAGTGGCTGGGGCAACCCAGTCAGATGGGAGGGGTACTACCACTACTACTAGTAGTAGTAGTACTGCTACAAGCATTCCTCCACTGAGCTTGTGGTGGCAAGTATGGGAGTTATCTCATTTCCTCCTCATAATGGCCCTGGGAAGAAATCAACAATGCGCTGTGTTGAGCTTTCATTACAGCAAGCATCTCTGCATGCCTGATGGAAGGATCCTCCTTTCCTTCCTCATGCACTGTTCTGGGGGTTATCCTGACTCCCCCAGGGCCAGTTGCAGGGGAGGCAGGGGAGGGAAGCTCCACTATGCAAACAGAAGTCCTTGCACAGGGCTTCTGCTGATGGGAAGATGAATCCCACCCATTGTGTGGTAGGCTAGGCTGAGAAGAGTGACTTGCCCAAGGTCACCCAGTGAACTTCACGGCTAATCAGGTATGTGAACGCAGGTCTTCACAACCAGCATCCATGGATCAACACAGCCACACTTTTGGACTCTCAGGGGTGGGGTGTGTTACTGCAGAGTCTGTCATGATGAGCTCCTGCACTTGAAAATTTATCACTATGCCACTGGGGGACGCAGAAGAACTAGTCGCTTTTGGGGGAGGGTATCATTTCATAAAAGTTGAGAAGCACTACCTGCCTCTCAGTTTTGGGATGCCATAGTAAAGCAATTTTCCCTGCCCGTGATTTCAATTGCTATTCACCCTTTTCAAGCTGAGCTGTGTAAGTAAAGAACTCTTAAACTACCTCATTTTGCATTACAAATGAGGTGATACAAGGAATGGAGCTCAGGACTCCAGCACTGTAGACTAAGAAGGCTTAGTTAATCAATCACATGGCCATGTTTCCTGCAGCAGCCTAGCAAACAGCTGCTTAACTCGCTGAGCTTTATGTCAACTTCTTTTCTACACTGACATGAAGATTTGCTTCCCTAGTTTTGGCCTGTGATACAGGACAAGCCACCATCACATCCAGTAAAAGAATTTTAGTACCAAAGGCAGCAACAGATTCAGAATTCTTTTCTGAAGTTTGGATCATAACAAGCCTTAGAGTGTGAAGCATTGACTGAAGTTATTCAGAAACAGCTTTTATTTGGGGCATTGAACAGAATTTCAAGAAAGTGTTAATCTATAGAAGTGGTCCTTTCCCTAGTGTTGTAGAACATTTACTGGTTTAAACCATGGACCCTACTTGATTGACACCAGTTAATTAAGTTGGAAAGATTGGATAGAGAGGAGAGCCAAAGAGCTGATTTAGGACAAATCTGTATAACCACTAGGCCCATGTGTGCTCCTTGCTGACTCATTCCACAGGTCTTCTGATCTGAGCAGGTCATTTGACTCATTTGTCGTGATTCAAGGTGGCAGTGTCTGCATGCCACAATAAACCACATCAGTAACTGCTGGCCTGCCAGGAGGAGCCACCATAGACTGAAGAAACAAGCAGCTTTTGTTCTTACAGTTATTTTTATAACTATGTAGTTTAATGTTTTTGTAAGCCACCTTGAGACTTGCTTTTCAGCTGTAAGGTGGGACTTACGTTTTAAAATAAATAAAATGGAATAATATATGCACAAGTTGAGCAAATGTTGACAGAGATGAAATGCCTAGAAGCTGTTTGATTGCCTCTTAAGTGCATTCCGTAAATCTTCATTTTCAACCTCGGCTAACACTATTTTGTGTGACCACAAAAGGATTCCATAACAGATCAGGAAAGGTACAGCAAAATGTGAGCCCTGAACTGAACAATCAGGACTTGTTTGAGAGCGGTAGATGTATTAATCTGTTGCAGGAAAAACAACACGCCTATGGCATCTTAACTTGCAGTGTAAGTCTAAACATGTCTACTCAGAAATAAGTCCCATTGAGTTCATTGGGACTTACTTCCAGGTAGGTGTGTATAGGATTGCAGCCGTAGTTGTTGTTGTTATATAGGTTTCCTGGACCAGACCTTTTTTTGTCAGATGCATCAGTCCTGAGTCTCACAGTGAAGTAACAGTTGCATGACACATGCTACACGTGTTCAGATTTTCACTCTTCCACTCAACCAGTGGCATAGTCGTGAATTTTAATGTTCAGGAGCTCCTGACACCCCTTATAGCTCATCCACAAGGAGAATCCAAAAAGTCCTATACATAATTTCCTGGGGGTAAGCTATGTTGAACTCTGAGGATTACTTCTAATGGTACAGTTTCAGTTCATTAAATGCATTGAGCTTTAGCAAAAGATCTTCAGCCAGCTGAAAGGCTATCTTTTGCTTTACCAGAAATGCAGACAATCTTACAGGAAAGCAGGGACTCCATCAAAGAAAAGAAAATACGTATATGCCATCTGCTTGATTAGTTTCCTCATACTCTGACTTCCTTTATGGTGATACACGACAAACTTGAAAGCCTCACAAACATATTGCCTCATTCACTTGCCAGAGCAAGGAAGGTCTGTCAGTTACCCTGGTGCTCTGGCAGATGACATTGTTGCTCCTGCCCTGAAAAATGTACCAGGGGGTGTTCTCCCTCCATTCTACCACTGCACCCTACCCACATTTCAGCTCTCTTTTAGGATGAGGTTGGTCCCATCAAAAATTTACATGGCAGTTTTTGAAAGCAAAATCTGTGTGGGTAAACAATAATGGAGAGGAGCTTCCTGCACTCAAGCGGAAGCTGTGTCGGACATTCGGCTTCCAAAAAACCGGAACACTTCCAGGTTTGCGGCATCTGGGAGCTGGTTTGTTCGACAACTAAGCTGTTCGAGAACCAAGGTACCACTGTACTAGCAAATCTTACTGTCGTTATGCTATTAAAACTTGCTCTATTCTTTGACCAACTGAGAACAGAAAACTCTGTTTTCTTTGAATCTCTCTTTCTCCAAGCTTTGGGGAAGACTAGGTATCGAGTTCAGCACCCACTATAATAGAAAAACCTATAGAATTTTGGTTGTTAGGACAGATACCTACATTCTGTTCTCTCCACTTGAGCTGTTTGAAGGAGCCACAATATGTCAGTGTAGAGCTCTATGAAGTAAATGTGTGCTTCAAAGGGGTGGACCCAAGCCTGTGCATGGAGCCAGTCCTCACCCTATATCACTTTTCAATGAATAATTTGCTCTTGAATAAAAACAAACATCTCTCAGACAAAGCTGTGCAGGGTGGGAGACAAATTGCTGCACTTTGCTAAGTAAACAACATGTTTCAGAGTAATGTGCTAGGAGCATCTGTCAGGTGATAGGAGCTTGAGCCAATGTCGTCACCTGGCAATATGCTTTTTTCACTACAACAATAAGATAAGTTCAAATCTTTGCCAGTGCAGTATTGGAGGGGAGACATGAGGAAGAAAACTCACACATCTAGAGATGAGGTGCTGCCTCTTCCAATGGGGATGAATTATTGTGGCTGCATGAGTTTACTGCATACATCAACCTGAGTACACATCTAAGGAACCTTTTTAAGATTTGAGTTATTTAGCCCCCAGATTCAAGTATAAGCTGCCATTTTTAAATTGAAGGCAGTTAGGGTTCTTCTAACAATGGCCAGGTGACCTCCTCCATGGGCTGGTGAGGAATCACATATAGCACAAAAGCTCTGGGTGCTGGAGTCTGGAAAGAACATTCACCCTTTCAGACCATGTTACTGTTTAAACTACTTTTTGCAGACCCAGCGTTTGTCCATGCACAGCTCATTCCAGACAGCGCAGAGAGGAATGATGACAAGCTCTATTTCTTCTTCCGAGAGAAATCTACCGATTCCCCACAGAGTCCTGTTGTCTACTCCCGCATTGGTCGCATTTGCTTGGTAGGTCTTGAGGATGAATGAACATAGGTTTGGCTGAGAGTTTACTATAAATTCCATGTATTTGGACCCTTCTCTATAATACCATTAACAAGGAGTTCCTGGCACTGTCTAGGAATTTTTAGAAACCAATAAATACTGTGATTTTTAAATAGTGTAATTTGTGAATTTGCTTCCTTCACCCCCAAAACTGAGTAAAGTCATGTTTTGGTCCACCATCTTGAATCAAAATTGGCACCCAGCACTCCAAAATCAACAACAACCTCAGTAACCTTTGTGCCAAGTTTGATGATGAAATCTCAAGAGGCAGCCGAACCTATGTAAAAAATGAGCACAGTCACTCTGAAGTCCCATTTAAGTCCACCATCTTGGTTCAAAATGGCACATGGCACCCAAGCATCAAATTAGACCCCCACCTCTGCCTCAGAAATCCTTGTGTCAAGTTTGGCAATAATATATTGAGAGGTGTCTGTATAGAGAACAAATAAACAAGGTGTCAGTGTATAGAGAATGAATGAATGGATAGACAGACAAACCACTTTCCAAAATATATAGTAGTTCACCAACATCTCTTGTGAATGGCAGAAGCCATTGTTGCTCTGAGTTCCTCCACTGCCACTGTTTCTGCTGCTTCCTTCCTATATTGTCCTCTTTGGTATAGCATGTGAATAGCTGGGAGTCTGGAGTAACTGGGCATTCCTTTGTGGTCATTACTCTTTGCCCTGTTTCTGTTGTGTCCCACTGTACGGAAGTGTACAGAATAAAAGTTGTGTGTCTGATAGCCCAATCCTAGCCGTGCACACTACAAACACTGATGTGGCTGCAGGCAAAGGCACTGTAGCTTTCATAACACTTTTTGTATCCCAGAACACTGCTTTCCTTTTATTTAGAATGATGATGGAGGCCACTGCTGTCTGGTGAATAAATGGAGCACATTCCTGAAAGCACGGCTCATCTGCTCTGTGCCAGGGCCTGATGGGATTGAAACACACTTTGATGAACTCCGTGAGTACAGTGAGGAATGGGACGTTGTGGGGGAAGGGGAGTATGGTAGACAGAACTTTTAAATGTTAAGTGACCTGACATCTTAATAGGGGCCCTGACTAGTGGAGGCATAGACATTTAATGATCTCCACCTAATGGCCTGTGGGCTGGATCTACTCTCCAGAGCCCCTATCAGCTCTCCCTAAATTTTAATCAAGGTCCAGTCAGAAGTTTGCACACCATTTTCACTGAATCCCCCTGCCCCCGCAAATGTTAGGAATAGAAATACACTTCACAGCATTACACATTTCCTGTGGATTGTGTATGTTGCATGTACATATTTCTATGTAGTGCTGTTCCTAAGCACATAATTATGAAGCCCTGCCTGGTAAGTGATGGTAATGTTAGTACAGAGCCCAAATACCCATACTAGTGGTCTGTGCAGCAGTCTACACTTCTGGCACCCAGGCTTCCTTGTGAAGAATAGAGTGGTCCTCAATGAATATAGAAGTTGGCCAATGTACTTGATGCTTATTTTTTAAAAAATCAAGAATTACCAGGGCTTATATATGTCTGCAAGTTATCCATTCTAAACTAATAGCCTACCCTCTAAACTCAAATGTGATTAAATCTGATGATACTAAGTGGGACCAGCCCTGAAAAAACTTGACTCAAATGTAGCACTGAAAATTTCACCTACCTTACTGGGGTGCTGATAGCAGAAATCTCTAACTAAGAGTCTCCTGGGGCTTGACAGAACAAGGAATACAAGGTGCCCAGTACTTGACCTCTGGATCACTGTATATAGGAAAATTGCAATGTTTGTGGAGAAGGCAGCTGGTTTTTATGGCTTGAAGAGATCTTCATAATTATCTAGTATAGTCCTCTAAGGATCTGCCACAACCCTAACGTTCCTAGCAGATTTCCCATTATAATAGAAAAGTATTCAGCTAATTTTCAGTGTGCCACAATCAGAGAAAATAATACCCAAGGCTCTCAAAGCCATATGCTTCTTGATATGATGCACTTGTTCAGATAAGTAAAACATTGACATTTAGCCAAAGCTGTAGGAAAACTAACAGTGGCATCTGAGCAGGTTGGAGGTAATGCAAAAGGCAGTTTGGAGGATAGCCACATTTGCTTAAGTAGAAGGACTGAGATAGAAGAAGAAAGGAAGAGGTTAAGAAACAGCAATGTCTTTTTCATTAACATTTTCTTTTGAATGAGGGTTTGTCGGGCAGTATGCTTCTGTAAAAAGGCCCTTCAAACAAATTTTGCATTTCTTAAAACAAACTTTTAAACAAAAGCAGAAAATATATCCTTGCATGTTAGGAATGCTGTAAAACCTTATTCCAAACAAGGTTTTCAGCTGAATTTTGAAATTGTAGCTGAGATCCATCACAAGTACTTTTGTGATGCTTCATTAACAAGCTTTCAGCAACTATCAAAAAATGGGGAGAGAGATCCCACTGTGCAAATGCTGTGTGGAAGCCCATTCACACAAGGAGTCAGCTTGACTTAGTCTTGCTGTTTTCGGGGGTAGGAGAAAATGAAGGCATCCAACATTGGCATAGTTGAGTTTGGGGATCCCATTCTTGGCAAAGGCAGCAGACCCACCTCCAAGTAGGCTGTCAGCCAGCTTTCTCTCAACACAGGCCAGACAGATGGCTGCTGGTCATTCTGCGAGCAACCCCAGTGAGGCTTTTATCACCTTCAGTGGCCTTTGATGGATTGTCTCCTACTAGAGAGCAAATTAGCACTGTCCCTTTCCCTACAATTGCTTTGCTTCCCAAAATCACTACCAGATGGTCTGCAGGATACCTTGATTTCCTGACTTCTCTTGGAGAGGGAATGAACTCAGAGCCTCACCATAGCCATTGTTCTTGCCTGAGTGAGAGTGTTCTCTTCTGCCACAGCTGGGGCTGAATTAGAAGTGACAACTATGGGACACTCTTGTGCAGGCCTCACTGTGAAATCGCAATGTGAATCTAAATGAGAAAGAAACCTGAGCACATCTCTGCCTGATATGAAAGTCGTATAAATAAGCAAATCAATCCTACTGACATGACTTATCATTCTTTTTATTAGAAAGAACAAAAGTTTTTATTAGCTACTATTAAGGACATTAGTTGGAACGCACGTCATAACAAATTAACTTGACCTGGCTTAACTATGGCCAGCGTCTGGCTTGACTAATGTCTGGCATAGTCCACTGTGGTCCTATATCTGCTTGACCATGACCCAAGGTCTGGGCTGGGCCAGCTTGCCTTGCCAAGTTTCCTGATTTATTTGCCTCACTTCACTCTAGGTGAAATTAGATGTTAGAAGTTTTTTCACCTTCTTCCCAGTAGCACGGGTGAAACATAAAGTGTATAGCTTGGCATCTTCATAACGTGTGTATCTGCACCTGCCTCATCTCAATGGCTATAGCCAGAAAGAAAATGCCCAGCCCAATGGCATCACTCCACATGGTGTGTTCTATTAGACGTTACCAAAAAAAAGGGGGAGGAAAGAGACACAGAGCAGCAGCAGTAGCAGACATGTGTCTTTTGTCATGCCCAATTCTGTCCTCGGTGAATTGGTTCTGTTTTGACTATCTCAAGGCAACACTGTATTCAGTTCTTCTTTTCAGACTCAGACTCCCCTCTCTCCCCCCAAAAACACACACGCCATGAGTTGCTAACTCTCTCCTTTCTCTTCAAGAGGACGTCTTCATCCAGCAGACCCAGGATGTGAAGAACCCCATAATTTATGCTGTTTTTGCTGCCTCTGGGTGAGTGCTCAGGGAACAGAATTTGGAGACCTTCCTTCCATGTTCATGCCTGTTCATGCTCACAACTTTAGAAGGCAAAACCCCAGATTTAACTCTGAAGCAGAAAAAGTTCCAAAAGCAGACACCATTCCATCTTGTGGTGATGTGTTCCATTTCTAGCCAAGAAGGGAACGTGGTCTTAGACAGGGTCACCTTGGAATTTTCTGGCAGAGCTGGAATACAGCCCAGAAGCACTTGCTTGCCAAGCTTGGGGTTTTCCCACAAACTTAGCTATGGCAGCTGTAGTTGATGACTTGATCCCCTGGGGTAGGCAGGTGGAGTACGTACATACACACACACCAGGATCTATTTACGCCTCTGCGGGGTCAAGAGGGCGTCAGGTCCTTTGTTAAACCAGCAAGCAGCAGCAGCTAATGCCATTTTTCTCAGTGCTTGTGGTTGGAACAACTAATCCCGGAATGTTATAACTTGGGGACGTGGCCTGATAACTCTCCAGCAGCTGCTTGAGGCTGGCCCCAGAGCACCAAAATTGCATTGTCTTATCCTACCCACCCCCACCTCTTTTCTGGCTTGGTGCTCTGTGCCAGGCAGGAAATCCCTGTTTCTCTGGGGTCTATGTCATTGCACATGTTCACAAAGGTTTAAGGACATTTCAAGGGCTTGCCAGCAGCCAAGGCTGAACAGAGATGCACAACATGTTTCCCCTTTGCAGCTGTGACAGCCAAGAGGTCAGGATGTCTGAGAATATCTGTTGAAGGCAAGGATGGAACATTGCAGCCAGCTTTTATATGTGAAGGACATAGCCACCCTTTGGACTAATACAGCTCCCCACCCCTTTCCTTGCACAGGTCTGTGTTTAAAGGATCTGCTGTGTGTGTCTACTCCATGGCTGACATCCGCATGGTCTTCAATGGACCTTTTGCCCACAAGGAAGGCCCCAACTACCAGTGGATGCCTTACACAGGCAAAATGCCCTATCCACGTCCAGGCACAGTAAGTATGGGTGAGATCTTCAGATGATCACTTATCTCTAGGGCACTGTCCCCACTCCAGTGCAAATATGTTTTTCAACATTCAAAGCCCAGAGGTTTTGTAAATACTTATCTGTCATTGGTAATGTTGCATGCCATACATTCAATGTTGCAATGTCAAGATGTTTGGAAGAGTGTACGTGTGAAACAGACTGCTCACTTTTACATGCACCTTTGGCTAGTGGGCTTCCTGTATGGTGCAAGGAATCACATTGAGCCATTGCTCATTGGCAGAACACAGGCTTTACGGGCAGAAGGTTCATTCCTTGGCATTTCTACTTAAAGGATGTTAAGAAGCAAGGCTAAGAAATACCTCCATCTGAGACTCTGGAGACCTGATGCCTGTTGAAGCAAAGAGTTCCAGTTTAGAAAGGCCAATGAGTCACAGAACATAATTGAATGCAGAGAAGAGCTTATTCATACAGAACAAAATTCAGTGTATTTTGAACCTATTGCTTCTTCCTCGGGGGACTTTGCATGCAATGAAAATTTATTCTAAGCCAGAAAAGTTGGGCTTGGCTCCACAGTTGGTGGAACAATGGTCTGATTTTGTAGAAAGAAGCTTCAGATGTTCGGTTTTAAATGAATGAATGCATGTAAGGTAATATTTGTCATTTAATAATAATTCAGAAAAAAACATACTTATCGAATGGTAGGCCTGGGGAGGAACCATAGATTGGTGGCAGAGCACATGCAGAAGGGCCAAGCTGGGATCCTTTATTGCCAGCTAAAGGGATTTCTAGCTAGCAGGACTAGAGTGTACAACTGCCAGAGGCCTTGGAGAACCACTGCCAACCAGTATACACCATACTGTGCTGGCTTATCCAGTGGCATTAACACAATATGTACATGAGTACTTCCTCTTCTGCACCTTTGAAGGTTGCAATGAAGGAACTTACTGGTGATGTTTGCTGGTGAGAAGTCTTAGGCTGCTCTTCTTGTTTAACACAGTCTCTGCCTAGCCCATCGTTCCCCTCCTCATTCCTCCTGCTCTGATTCCCTCTCCCTCTCCATCTCTGCACTGTTCTGCCTTCCTTCCTCCAGCCTCCTTTGGTATCCATATCCTTTGGTGCACTGCAGCCAACAGCTTTTCAGCCCCACTCACTGCTTGACATTTGGCCACGGTGTGGGAGGCTGATTAGTGTTTCCTCTCCAGGTTGGTGGTCTCTGGACTCATTTGCTGGCATCCCTTCCTTGTTGGCAAAATACCCACAAATAAGGAGAACTCATTGCTTCATTTTACTGGCTGGGAGAATTCAGCTCTCTGGTCTCTTTTGCTCATACATCCTGCAGGGCCAAAAAGAGCCCGATACAGCCTTGGCCGTTCTATGGAGAGGCCTCCAAAAACACAAAGCACAGGCTGTGTTTGGCTCTCACTGCTCAGCAGCTGGGTCATATAGGATTCAGAGGTTTGTGTGAGCATTACTAAAAACACTGAGGAATAATGTCCCTTTCAGCAAAAGTAACAGACTTTCAAAAGTGTATCCCTCAGTCCTAGTAAACATCCAAGGGGTACCGTATTGAGCTGCATGTTAAAGAATTTGAAGTCAGCTTGGGTGAGATGTTCACAAAGTGGAGATCTTACAATCCTATTCTGTATACTGGGCAACCCTGGTTCCATCCAAAGACTCATTCTCTGCCACCCAAACAAGATAAAAGTGGAAGGTTCTTTAAGTGCCTCTTCTCCACAGAATGAAAAGCAACATAGGCACTGATAGGGACGTCTCCTGATGCACCCCAGCAGCCAACTCCCATACTCACATGCAAGAGAATCCAGCTGTGAAAAGCAGCCTTAAGTCATTTTATTAGGCCATAGCCTTCCCATGGGTTGGCCACTTGAGAACAGAATGCTGGACTAGGTGGGCCACTGGCCAGAACCAGCAGGGCTGCTCTTATATTTATTGGGGTGGCCCTTGGGATCAAGCTCTATTGGGAGGCTGATGGGAAGCACCTGTGGGCTAGACTGAGTTTGCAGACAGTAAGTTATTTATTCCTGTTTTGTAGCATGGGCATTTAGTAGTGCTATAAGAGCAATTCATGCATTGGTAGGGTGGTTGACTGCAACATATATCACAATTTGAATCTGTATTTCTGCCTTGGGTTTTCAGTGCCCAGGAGGAACGTTCACACCCTTGATGAAGTCAACCAAGGACTACCCAGATGAGGTCATCAACTTCATGCGCACTCATCCCATGATGTACAATGGCGTGTACCCCATACACCGCCAGCCACTAGTGGTGAGGACCAACGTCAACTACAAGTTCACAACTATTGCCGTGGACCAGGTGGATGCAGCTGACGGGCGCTATGAGGTGCTTTTCCTGGGCACAGGTACCCACTGATGTGCACTGAAGAGAATACACAAACACCTCCCACCCACCAACATTCCCCTAGCCTGGACAAATAGCACTTGGGTTGGTTCGCTGGGGCAACCACCTGGGACTAGCTTTCTAGGGATATTCAGCTCTGATAAGATTTGGCAGCAAGTTGGAAGGTAATGATGGGAACTGGAGAGTCCAGCTTTCAATGTTCCATTCACATGAGATACGGTTTCAGGAGTGCAGGAGCACATTTGGAATTCCTTTTGGTGCAAGATCTATGCAAAGAGGAGATATAGGGATTCAGGCTGAGATCCACTTCTTCCTAAGTCACATTCCAGAACCAAAATTGATTCCTCTTTTCCTATTAATTGGTGCCTACAGACCCATTCCAGATGCAAGGACCAGGTGGTCTCTCGGTACTGAGCAAATATAAACTCCTGCATGAGCACCTGTGATGTGGAACATATAAGAACTCCCTTGTCATAGACTCTCATCTAGTCCAGCCTCTTGTTTTCAACAATAGCCAGTCAGAAGCTCTAGCCTTGCCTTTATATCTCTAAGCAAATGAGTGGAAGAAAACCATTTTTTCTTTAGTAGAATCAGCATTCACCCCCCAGCCTTGAGAACAGATGGACTCCTCACAAGGTAACATTGATACATGCAGCATATAGTTTTAACTATGCAGCTTGCTCCTGCAGGAGGCAGTGATGGCTACCATCAAGGATGGATTTAAAAGAGATACAGATTCATGCAGGATAGGCCTGTTAATGGCTACTAGCCAGGATGGAGGCTATGCTGTGTCTCCATGGCTGGAGGCAATACGTTTCTGAATACTAGTTACTGGAAACTGCAGGAGGGGAGAGTGCTCTTGTGCTCAGGTTGTGCTTGCAGGTTTTCTGCAGACTGCTCTGAGAACAGGATGCTGGACTAGATGGGCCATAGGTCTGATGCAGCAGGCTCTCCTTATGTTCTTATGACTCCAGTTCCCACAGGAGGAAGCCATTGTAGGTAACACAGACACAGCTGCACTCTTTTCTGCTTCTGTGCAAACTTACTCCATTGAATTGGAATACAGTAGGATTGTTGGTTGAGTAGTTTGAACAAAGAGGCGTACAGATTAGATGAAGTGATGTGTAACAGTAGAAAAACTAACACAGGGAGAACATGCCTAGCCAACTAATGGTGATAGAAAGCATCTGCGCTAGGTCCAGTCTGCTGGAGGCGAGTTACTTGTCTCCCAGCAGGCCAAGGGAGCACAGCCAGCACTCAAAGCAGGTGGTCAGGAATGCTAACGACCCAGAAAGTTCTCATTAGCTGGTAAATGCTCTGTCTCTGCACAGCTGTTTCATGGCCTACCAAGTTAGCTGCTCAGCACCCAGACAGCTGTGCACAGTGCTGCCGCCACCTGTTATTGCCTATAGGGAGTTTCCTCTTTCTTTCTGGTCATAGGTGTAACAAATCTCTAGATCTTGGTTGCTTCCTGTTGCATAAAGAAGCAGATAAAGTTGTGTGATCACAGGAATTTGTGCAGCATTCAGTTCAAGTTGTAAACAGGGGAGTGATGTGGTGGCCTGGGCAATAGGTGCCTATTTTCATTTTCCTCTCCATCAACATGAACTGGTATTTTACCAAACTGCATGCTCACCATTCCAAAGAAGGTAGTCTTGAGCTTATTGGCGGAGCAATTCAGAAAGAGCAGAAAGGAATGGTTTGCCATTCTGTGTTTCAGAGGACATACAGTTATTCCTCAGAAGCACCTATAACTCTGGAGATAGATGAAGATACAGACACACACACACACACACACACACACACACACACCCTAAACTTTATTCATGTGCAAGTGCAGGACTCTGAACCTTGCTATAAATCTCTTCTTGCCCTCCCCACACAGTGAAGTCTATACACAGGTACACTTGTCTCAGAACCTAAAATGGCACCTGTGCCTCTAATGTAGGGTTGCCATACTTATAGAAGTAAAATTCAAGACACAAAAGTTGTTCTGCTTTTTTAAGGAAAATCCCCCCGGATACTATTTTCGCTGGTTAAATCCTGGACATGTCTGGGAAATTTCAGGCATATGGCAACCCGCTCTAATGTGAAATGCATCATGTCCTGAAGGCACTGTCATACACCCACTCTCAAATCCAAACTGGATAGGGCTGTGGTTCAGAGAGGTGCTGGCATGGTCTCTATAAAGTTCATGGGTTTATACTACTGGCACATACTACATGACACTGTGATTGATACATTAGAGGCTAAAAAGTACACAGATGGCACATAAGAGGTTTAAACAGAGAGAGAAGTTTTAGGTAATAATTGAAAGAAAGGTTGTTTATAACATAAATTAAGTGATTTATTAAATTTCATTCAGGGGTTTTTAAATGCTTATTTTCTTTGGGTGGTATCTGACAGGAGTTAGTTAAATGCCATGCTTTTGCTGCAATACTGTTCCCAACTGGGTGCAACACTCATCCTAAGATGGATAAGACATATGGATAAAGCATATGCCTTTCACACTATTTTTATACACCAGGTGGTCCTGAGGTTTCCATGTAGTTGTTTTCATTTCCCATCTCTGACAGTACTGAGTTTGTTATGCTCACACTACTATAGACGGAAAATACATTTACACTAGCATCTTTACTTTAACTTCATTACTTCAGTTTCCCCTTTTATGTGTTTATATGATATGCTTCTTATGTTTCCTCCCCATGCACACACTCTCCTCTTAGGACTGTGGGTTGGGGAATTATAAAATATTAATGTGGAATATGCATACATACAAACAGTTGTAAATTCTTACAAAGCATGTAAGGTGGCTCCATCACTACAGAAGACTTCCCCAAGGAGGTTCATCCAGCCATTTCTGTTATGGAGAACTTTTGGAGGAGAAGCATAAGACCTGGGCCACACACTCTCACAGGAGCAAGCCACCATCATTTCATAGATCCTGTTTCAAGAGTATCCACAACGTTGATACTAGCATTTCGACAGCATGATGCATACCAGAAAAAGGAGGAAGAGCAAAGACCCAAGTGTTGCTAATTCCCCTCTGTGTGCTTCCCTTATATTGCAGATCGTGGCACTGTCCAGAAAGTAATAGTCCTGCCCAAAGATGACATGGAAACAGAAGAACTGATGCTTGAAGAGGTGGAAGTGTTCAAGGTAATTCACTGCACAGCCTGCGAAAGACATGATCACTTGCTGTTCATGAAGCACATGGCTTGGGAATAGGTGTGGTGTAGTAGTGAAGAGTGTGAGCAGTGAAGTTCCTTGTTCGTATTTCACTCTCAGCTGCAGAACGTGTTTGTGGTCTTAGGCCGACCGTTATTCTCTGAGGTTCAGCCCTGTCAGATGCAGTACAGAGCTAATAATCCTGGGCTCCTTTGAAAGGAAGGGTGGGATAGAAGTTCAATAATATGAAATAAATAAATAAATAAATACCTTCCTGTAGTGTTGCAAGGATTGTTAGGATAAAATACCTCTACCTATATGCTGAGAATTAATTGAAGATGGTGATAGAATTGCTCTCACAGGATTGTCACACCACCCCAGCTCCTCAGATGAAAGTGTTTTGTCTTGTAAAACGATGTTGTCCACTGCGATTCTTAAGTCTTTCCTTTGTGTTCTCTTTAAACTACTCCCAAAGACCTTGGGAGGGCAGCCACCCTCTTAGACCGGATTAATTACCACAATATGGTTTCCTCATAGGTTCCAGCTCCCATCAGGACGATGACCATATCTTCCAAAAGGGTGAGTATATCTAAATGAAGGCTGAAGTATGTCTCTCTTATTGGGCTAGATACTAGGCCAGAAATAGCCATGGCTCAGGAAACAAAAGAGTATTCTCTGACTGCTTGTCACTGGTACCATCTTTGCAGAACACGGAGCAATGTGGAGTTCCTTCCATTCTAGTCGTTCTCCCATTTCCCTTGAGTATCTGCTGCTACAAGGAGCTCACTCTAGAGGCTGGGAGGTGGGTTGGAATGCAGAACTGTTCTGAATGGTTGCACTTGGGAGGCTTTTCTGTCCACACTTCCTCAAGAAATCATATCCCTCACTCCATTCCCACCTCCAGTACACTGTGGGGGCAGAATTACCTATCCTCTCATTGACATCTGGTTGTTACTCTTACCCAACAGCAACAGCTGTACGTGTCCTCAGCCATTGGCCTAACACACCTGGCTCTTCACCGCTGTGATGTGTATGGAGAAGCCTGCGCTGACTGCTGCCTGGCCAGGGACCCCTATTGTGCCTGGGATGGGAAGTCCTGCTCTCGCTATTCTGCTTCCTCCAAGAGGTACTGTGTGGCAGAGAGGGTGGAAGGGACTGGAGTTCCACTGTTGTTTGTTGGGAATGCCCTGTAAAGGGACTTTAAAGAATGACTGTGGGGTCATTGTTCAAAGCAGGTTATTTTCAAGAGTTCTGGGAGTGCCTTGGAATTAACTTTACAGGGAATATTCTAGGAAACTAGTTCTATTGATATAAAGTGGAATTCAGGGGTGGGCTAAGGAAGGTTTACATCATACAGCGTCCTAGGAGAAATTCAGGAAAAAGTTATGTTGAATGAATTCTAGGCAGTGCATCTGGATAATGCTAAAGAGTGTGATTGCTCCAAAACATGAAATGGATCTTGGGCAGGAATTTGAATCTTCCGTAGTTGGCTCAGAATTAATCTAGGATTCACTGGCCAAGTGCTGGCCAGAAAGACAAAAGGATTATGAATGGCTCATCATCTTGCTCCTTGGAAGGACCAAAATTCCAACCACTCACCTGGCTGCTTCTTTCCTTATCACAGGCGGAGCAGGCGTCAGGATGTCCGGCATGGCAACCCCATCCGTCAGTGTAGAGGCTACAATTCTAATGGTGAGTGTCATACTCACCCATTGCATGGGGGGGATCAGAAGTAGCATTCTCCTTGGTCTCGTGGTCCCTACTCACCTCTCTGCCCCCACAAAAAGAGTGTAGTGAGGGTGTTGAGATGGAAGGTCTGCTTTAAAAAAACCTGGCTGCCCTTCACACCATGATTTTTGATCAGCAGAGTAGGTGAACAAACTGGTACTTTTGAGTACACAATGTGGTGCGGAATATGGACTTTCTTGGCACATAAAGTTGAGTAGCCATGGATTGGGTGGAATAGGAGGGGCCATTTTTTCACTGGATAGGTGGGTGGGTGTCCCTGGGCAAATGAAGGGACATGATTGAAGAATTAGGATCAGTACTATTGTACCTCTTTGTTATCATAGCTGGAAGGGACCCCAATGGTCATCTGGTCCAACCCCTGCAATGCAGGAATCTCAACCAAAGCATCCATGACAGATGGCCATCCAACCTCTGCTTTAAAACCTCCAAGGAAGGAGAGTCCACAAGGGAGACTATTCCACTTTAGTTCATTTCTTACATAAGTCATCCAACTCAGTCACATACCTCAATCACATGGTCAGGCTGCACCCAGAACTGGAACCTGAATGGTCCACATGCTGAATGATGGATTGCAGATTGGCCAAGTGTGGCTATATAAACTTGGCAGTAATGAGACTAGCCTCCTTCTGGCAAAGGAGTAGGAGCTTCTTGGAATATATTTTGTCAGGGAATGTATTAGTTGAAACGCGACCCTTGGCAAATCATAATCTTGTATCTATGTATCCACCTCCAGCCAGCAAGAACACTGTAGAGGCTGTCCAGTATGGAGTGGAGGGAAGCACAGCCTTTCTGGAGTGCCAGCCTCGCTCCCCTCAGGCCACCATCAAATGGCTGCTCCAGAAGGACAACAGTGACCGAAGGAAAGAGGTACAAACAGGCAGTCCTGAATTTCCAGAATGGAATTTGGAGGAAAAGGGGGGAATGGAGGCCAGAGGGAAGTTAGCATGAAAGTTAGTGGCTTAGCGAGGAAGAGTAACTTGCCTTTTGCTTCTACCGTAAGTTTTAATAAGTACTAAGACTATCTCTACTTTTCAAGTGGGATTCAGTCAAAAACTGACAGCTTCAGGTAGCACAATTAGAATTGATTTGGTACTTGTGCACATCAAACCTGCTTGCAAAAAGCACACAGACCTTTTGCAATAAGGAAAGTGACGTGAAAATTGACTGGAAAGTGTTGGATAACAATTGCTTGATGAAACTTATATAAGCTCCTTGCAAACAAATCAGAATGAATGTTAAAATAAGCTGCAGACAATGCACAAAGAAATCAGGATGATTCCTCAATAAGCAGGTCATCTGGAAGTGACAGAGAGTTGAGCTGGCCAATCTTTTGTTCTATTTTCATCATGTTAAAAAGCACTTGTTTCTCGGTCCGCTTTCAGCTACCTTGCTGACATTTCATCTATTTTTCATCCACATCCTGGATACTAGAAGGATCTCTGTGCAGAAGCTCACAAAATAGGTTTTTTAAAGCTCTGAGGAACTGTGGCGCCTGAGCAAGGCCACTGGAAACAGCCCAGGGAAACACCCATTCCTGTGCTATCTCTGAGCTTATATGACCAAGCTCTTGAAAGCTCCCTGACCCATTTGAGCTAAAGCTAAACTTTGTTGATTTACTTTCTGTAAGCCCTTCCTACTCAGCCCATCTGATTGGTAGCAGCCCCAAACCTGCTTCTGTCCAGCCAATAGTTCCATCTGAGCTCCTGAGAAAAAAGGATGGGAAGCTGGATCGTTCATCATGCTTTGCTGTTTGCCAGGACTCAGAAGTCTAGGAATTGCAGAACAGGAAATAATGAGAACTAAGAAGCTAGGAGGATGAGGGCCAGAAAGCACTCAGGCAATGAATATGCGGCTTGTTTTCCACCCACAGTGTGATCTAATGTATCCCTGCCCAGCAACTCCCAACTGTGCTAACAATGCCTCCTCGATGTGTTTCTTTCCATTAGCTGCGCACTGAAGGAAGAGTGCTGAGGACAGAGCAGGGGCTGCTGTTGCGGTCCTTGCAGCTCTCGGATGGGGGCCTCTATTCCTGCACAGCCACAGAGAACAACTTCAAGCACACGGTGGCCAAAGTGCAGCTGCATGTACTGAGCAGTGAAACGGTCCATGCTGTGCTCTTCCAGTCAGAGGCCCCTGCCCCTTCTGCAGCAGCCATGCGAGCCGGCCTGCCAGGCACTTTCAGCTCCCATTACCATGACCTGGTGCAGCTGCTCACCCAGCCTGAGATGGGACTCATCAACCAGTACTGCCAGGGCTATTGGCGGCACGTGGCCTCCAACCATAAGGAGACTCTGGCTGGTCTCAAAGCCAAGGAGCTGCATGATCAGAAAAAGCCTCGAAACCGCAGGAACCACCAGCCAGAGATGGATCAGCACACATGAAACTTGACAAGGGACTATGAAATGACAGTGCTATATTTCCCCCCTCCATTTTAATATTAAAATATCTATAAATATATATATAAATATATATATATACACACACACAAAAACACGCCCTGCTCCCCCTCAAGACAATATTTATTTGTAGGTTGTACATAATATGTGGGTGATGCAGTCTCACCTCAGTGTGTGACAGCAAGGAGTTTGGAGGCGTCCCGCTGGCAGCTTGCTCTTCCTTTCCCCTTTTATCTGCGGTACTGTAAAATAGCTGACACTCTGGAGGATCTCAGTGGGACACGGCAGTCTTGTGTGGAATCTGTGGGTCCAGAATGTTGGAGCCGAAGCCTTCAAGACTGGATCATCATGGGCAAGTCTGAGAATGTTGTGCTACTGTCACTGAAAACATTTCTACCTGGTTAAAAAGGAGAGGAAAATGTCTGTTGTCAGACGCTAAGCATACCTACCCTGAAGTGTATAAAAGCCTCTGCTACACCTACAAAGACTTGAGCACTTTCTTCTCCTCTGTACATTTCTCTGCCTCAAAGCATATTCTGGCAGGACACTCTTGCGTGTAAAGTACAATGGAGGCTTCATGTCTTGAGGAGCCTGAATCATTTAAGGCAGGAGGAAATGCTTCACCGAGGGATGTCCATGCATGGGTTCCATGTGGTGCTCCTACTGCTTTCAGAAGCAAGTTAATCCCACCAATAGGAACAATGTTATGATGTGATAATGATTCAGCTTGTGCTGTTTGGCTGATGATCTGCAAGAGATATTGTCTGTGAAAGTTGTGGTACAACCAAAAGAGCTGTTGGGAAGGTGGATATGGCGATTCTCATAGCCACCTAGCTTTTCTGAGCTAGTTTACTTGATGGATGTGAAGGCCTCATCCAAGTGGGCTATGCCAGGGAGACGTAATGTATATATGAACCAAAGCTACTCTCCCATAGTGCATGTGTCAGAGACTTCCAAGGCCAAAGACAGCATGGGATTGGAGGTGGCAGAGAGGGTTAGGCATCAACTGGATAGCCATCAGGACACCGGGCTTCTGCTCAGCTGGCCAGTGCAGCAATCGGCATCCAACCTGGTTATTTATTATTATTTAAATAATATTAATTTGCCCGCTAGGAATTCAGTTCCTCAGTTTGATAACACCAGTCTACCCAGCTACGCAATGTGGAAGTTGGAAAGTCTGGTCCTGAGTATTCCCATCAGGATTCCTGTGGAATTGGCATCAGTCCACATGAGCAACTTCAATGCGCTGCAGGTTGGGTGGAGCATCCTTTGCAAAAAGAGAGAAACATTGAACTAAGAGTGATCTTTCTGCTTAATTTCAAGATGGATTCCACATATCATGGGCTAAGTAAGGACTAGTAAACATTCAGTACATGCAGTATCCCCCATGTCAGAGATCAGCACCATTTTGTTCTGAGATAAACAATGGTGAGCATAGAACAGCAGTGGTAACAACACTGCTCAAAAATGAAGTCAAGAAGGCAATTGTATTACTAAGATGGGCTTCAGGATTTATGGGTGTAATTGGGAATATGACCAATAATTGTTCTAGGAATTAATCCCATGTAAAAAAAATAAAAATACAGAGGGAGAGGTTGAGTCTTCCATCTGGGCAAGGATTTCTGCGTGTGCAATGAAGTGCTCCCTCCCCTAAATCTGTTCTAGGAACTCCCCCAGCCCTCTGGAACAGATTTGAGGAAGGCATGGGACAGACACAGGGGAAGGAGAAGAGGGAAAGTCCTGTTGCATACACAGAAATCCTTGTGGGGATAGGATATGGTAGTTGAATACTCATCAGAGCCAGGGGACAATGAGAGAACTGAGAACCACAGGAGAAAAAATTGAATCCACAGGAGGGGTGTGGGCAGGACAGAGTTCTGTGTATAGATATTCTAATTTGGGCACCTTGGGAGTTCATTAATATGATCTGGCATGCAGAGAATGAATATGATAAAACATATAATCAGGTCTTAACCTGAGCCAGACTTGGTCAACCCATGAACCTATTTTGAAAGCCAGGAATATGAAAGGGTAGAACAGAGTATCTCTGAGCATGGGCAGAATGCATGTTCCTCACCACTGAGTATCTATGCCCAGAACTGGAAAGGGCTCCTGGGTCAAAGGGTGACTGAGAAAGGCTTGAGCCCACCTCAGCTTGTCTGGTTATAACAAAATCTATTGAATGACCTTTTTCTGCCTCTCCCTTCATTTTTTTTAAAGGCATTGGCATTTCCTAAATGTGTGACTGTGCCTTCCACCTTAGGTTTTACTGTTGCAGAGGGTTTAGTTCGCTTGTTTCTTGGGTGCTTCTTTCAGACTGGTGTGGTTATGGCTTTTAGGTTTAATGCCTCCAAAGAATTAGAATCAAATTCTGAGTTTGGCTTAATCCACAGCACTAATGCCTGTGGAATTACACCGATTTTTTATTTTTATTTTTTTATGGGATCTCCCATTGTAGTGACCTGTTCGCTGATGCAAGGAACAGGTCTGCTCTGCCACAGAGATTGCAGTCATGGAGGGTAGCGAATAACATGCCCAAGACATATTGGCAAAGAACTTGCCCAAGACTATTGTGTCACTCTACATGCCTAGGTGTGCTAGGATGGAAGGTAGGTTATTTCTTGGACTTCTCACTTCTGTCTGCAGAGTAGAGGACAGTCTCGATGGAGTAGACCAGAAGCCTGCACTGTGTTTCCTTTGGTCTCTGGTGCTGTACCTCCTGCTGTTAACAAAGAGAGCTCACCATTCACCTGAGCCTAAGCCCACTTCATTTGTACACACAAAATCCTTGCAGGCACGTCCCCTTTCCCTTGCAATCTGAGTGATGCGCGTGTACTTTCTCTTGTAAATAGTTGTAAATCAAAAATGTAACAAAAACTGGGGATCTGGAGATTTTGATTAGTAGCTCCTTGTGATGAATACAAGCACAGAGCCATTTCACACCTGTAATGTGAAATTCCTGTGGATAGAACAAGCTAATAAACACTGGCTTTGTTTTTGAAAACTCAAAGACTCCTTCACCTTGACTCACACTCTTCAGGATGCCCTCATTTCCCTCCTGAAGTGATGGACTCTTTTCTACATTCCACTGGTTCAGCTTCAGATTGCAACCGCCTCTATGGATTGCTCACTGCCAGAATGGCTATTTATTCCAATACAGAAGTGGCATAAAAATAACACATACTTTCCCCATCTTCATATCCCAGTGCCCACCAATCTGGCATTGTGCTGGAAGCAACACCCATATGCCTTTCGCAGTTGGAGGCAGCCAGTTTGCACAGATCGAGCTGGGATATCTTCACCTCATCATGACCCCAACATGCCAGAAATGGAAAGAACTAGGCAGCACCCAAGTCCTGAGCAAGAGTGTTTGTGTGTCGAGTCCTGAGGCAGAGAAGAGTTAGCAATATACTCAAGGTCCTCTTTGTGTTCTGAAGTCAGGTTGCTTTGTACACGGCACCCTCTTTGTGTGTCCACTTCCCATCACCACAGTTCTTCATTGGGAACTTGATAAGTGTGCATGACCTACTCAAAATATTATTAAAATCGGCAGTAGCAACAAGAAAACATTTTACATATCTGGATTGGCCTGCACAAACACAAATATTTAAAGCAGGTGCAGAAAAGGATATTGCAAAGGCGCTTGATTGATGTCAATAGGCAGGGAGCTCCAAAGTGTAGTGCCACACTAAAAGATTGATTCTCCTATTACAGGTGCCCCACCAGTTGATCTTTCTCTGTGGGCTTCTATACAGGTGGTGGTGTGCTGTGACTAGAGTGCTAGGTTAACACCATATCGTCGGCTCTTTTGCAGGATTTTCCCATTGGCATGGGGATAATAGTGCACAGTTGGGCCATCCCTATGTGCCATGGTCTCCACCACTATTGCACTTCCCCCAGCCTGACAAACATCTCGGTGGAGCACGGTTGTGATTTGTAGGCCAGCATGCAGAGGCCACCCTCCGTGTGTGTCATTGTTCCTGTGTAAATCAATGTCTGACCATAAACAGCTGGAAGCTCGCCAGATCAGTGCTAAAATTCAGCATGCAGGGGTGGCAGGAACATGCATCCCACATATGCCTTAGGGGAAGCTATAATGACGGGGGTATAGACACTGCATGTAAAGTTATCCACAGCTTGTTCCCTGTTAATTTACAGAGCCATAGATCCCCCTGCTTATGAAGCAACCAGGTAAATTATTTTCTGCTGCTCCTGTTTTATGAGCAGTCAGGTCAGGAGGGGAGAAAGGGGGCAGGTGTTGGATTCCTTAGACCTGGCAGTGCCCCTCCTTGTCCTGCAGCCCACAAACAAAGGCCCCTTGTTCTGCTGGCTTCATAAAAGAGAGAGAAATCTACCTCTCCAAGGGCGTGCTAAGGCAGCCGGTTAAGCAAACACACGGGGAAATGGGGATCAGGGTCATGGTCTCATTTCCTGCCCCCCTAGGCTGAGGAAGTTGCTAAGGGGTGGGTGGAGTGGTGTCCACTAAAGCAAAGATGACACAGGTCCCTCACTGCTGGCCCAGGGCTTGTTCTTCCTCAAGCCTGAAGAGGGTCTTGGGGCCCTAGCAGTCTTTTATCACCTGATGTTTTTTTCTTGGATACTGATACCTCAGAACTGAACCCTAAAAAGGGTGACTGAGAGACATGTTTGAGAGAAAGAGTTACAATGCTCAAGGATAAGTGAATGGTTTCTTGGGGCTGCTTAGGGATAATCTGCTCCATACTCAAATTCTGTCAGCTGGCAAAACTTCACGACAGATTTTGAACTGGTAGTAGTAGGTACCGGTAGGTAGGCCAGGCTGAAAAGGATGAGTTTTTTTCTCGGTGCTTTTAGGTTGACTGCTTTTGGTATATCTCCTGTGTGCTTTTGTTATTTGAAGAACTTGCCTCAGATATGAAATTTACCTCAGAATCCCCCCCCCTTGAGTTCCAGGTTGTTCCTTTTTTAAAGAGGGAATAATTTTTGCACTCACTGAACAGGCCAAAGGTTTTCTGTGGAAACCACTTTGAATGGGTGTCTTCTCTCATGGCTAAGAGTTGAAACCTTTAAAACACCTACATAGGCTGAAAACAGCAGCTTCTTATGGAGTTGTTGCTATCTGGCATCAGAAAGGTAAGTCCTACAGAAAGAAAGCTAGGGAAGAAACCCTATTTGAGTATTCTTCTAACATGGATTTTCATGCAGATTCTCATATATTTCTGTATTCTCTTCCTTTTTATGTATTATGGTGCTTCTAGCAATTTTATGCTTGCGCGTACACACACGCACTCCAACTCATGTAGGCCAAAGGTCTGAAGTGGAGACGCTCTTGTTGTGGAGGCTCCCCGCATGATTTAGCACCCTGTGTTATTGGGGCTCTATGTAGTGTTGCTACCCATCCCTAGAAAAGTGTCCACTGTCCCATTTGGACTTCAAACAGGATATCTTTCTCTCCATATTCAAACTCCTCCTCCTCAAAACACTGGGCAGAGGGTGGGGATGAGAGGGGGAGTTTCAGATAGAGAGTTTTTTCATGGGCAGGGAGCAGGGAGAAGAGATTTGCAGAGACCCCATCCATCCGGTGGAGAGCAGGGGAGATTGGGAAAGAGAGTTTTTGCGTGGACAGAGACTGGTGGGTCGGAGAGCGTGAGCGGGGTTTTGTAAACCATGTACCTTTGTACAGTAATGGATTGCTTTGAAGTCATTTATGCATTGGTTAAAGTAATTTTTAGGGCCCCCCCTTCTACCTGTATTTTGTCTGACCTGTCCTTTATTTTGCCTGACCAAAGGTGGCAGCCCTAGCTCTAAGTCACTTGGGGACCCTCCACACACAAAGGAGGCTCCTGTCTTCAGATCTTTGCCTTGCTATGAGTTGGAGGGTGATGAGGGGTGGAGTTCAAGGGAGAGGGCCCAAACAGAGTCACACAGCAAGAGGAGCTAAGGGGACATTGCCTGACCAAATGTGTGTGTGTGAGAGAGAGTGGGATGGGGGGAGCACTGCTGCACTAAAAACTAATGACTAGAGCAGAACTGCCTTGAATTTTATCCTCCTCAATGTTCCTCTGGAAGGTAATCTCAAAGCAGATCCTTCCTATCTAAATTGGCAGCATTTGACAGATCAACACTGATATAAGGCTCACTTTGGGAGCTGTGGTGGCTGAAATAATAGTAAGCTAGCAATGGACAAGTCATTTTGCAAAGTCTCATGCAAGGAGCACATTTGTAGTGATGGTTCTCCCTCTAGTGGCAGAAAGTCACATTGTTACTTGAGGTTAGGGAAGAGAACATACTGTACGTTTGTCCTGCCATCAATACAGGTCTCTTGTCTCTGCCTCAACTGTGGGGACATGATGCAGACCACTTTTGTGGTTCCTAGAAGACATTTTATTATGATTGGAAAGGCAAATGAATTCAAAGCTCTCTGCACTGGTCATTTGCTGAATCTCTTCTGGAGAAGTCAACGTATGAGATACTGAAACTCTGTCTTTATGCTTGGGTTTCCTAAGCAGCAATATCTTGTGGGGATTCCAGTCAGCTGTTCCACCTCTTTCAGTGTGTTCTAAAATCCATTTTCCAGCAGCTCCTCCCAATCAGACTGAGGCCAAATCCTGCTGGAACTGGTAAGATGATAGTGTTTGATCAGTTTCAGTGTCCATCTCCCCCAGCATCCTGTTTCCAACATGGGACAACCAGATGCTCTACAGAGTCCACATGCAAGGCACAATGGCATCAGCCCCATCTCTTGTTTGTCCCTAGAATCTGGCATTTAGAGATAAGTTCCACCTGTTATCCTCACCCCCAAACAGGAGTGCTTTTGTTCAGGTTTCCTCCCTAATGGCCTCCTTCAGGATATTATTATCTGCTGCAACAAACTCAAGCAGGGTATTCTGCCCACTCCACCCACTGTGGTTTTCTGTATTTCTTTTCCAATTGACACTCAACATTCTGTACATACTGAGCATGCTGAAAATGCATTGGGCATATACTACTAATACCCACCTAGGAGGAATCTGGTTTTTTTTTTTTGCATTTAAAAGCAGCATTATAGGCAAAAGCACCTCTGACTTAGCATGAAATGAAGAAAAATAACTGTATGGAACTATTCAGGAGTCAGCAGGTGTCAAGGATGCTCCTTAACCAAAGGAATGCACACAGCAGATAGTGCTTTATTGTCACAGCTGACACTTACAGTAGCTCCTTGGCTCTGAATACCACACAAACACATTTAGTATCTAGGCAGCTTTTCCCAGGTCTGTGCTCTATGGAGCAGTTGCAGCAACAGAGGGCCACTCACTCTCCACTAGCTTATGTGTTTTCCCCCAGTGAGCTATGCACACGCAGCCAGAGGGTGTGCCTGTGTGGAAGCTGCCTCTGCGCTTCCCACGTCAGTTCTCTCTTGGATCTGGGAGACAGTGGTGCAGGAGGGGGGGGACGCGGAAGCACCCAGCCCTTCCCTTGCCTAGCCTAGCCTGTCTATTTCTCCTCTACCCTCCAGCTCTGAAGTTTCCCCTGCCTCCAACTCTTGCCTCCTGGCTAGAACAGTATCTCACAATTCACTGCCCGTTCTCCAGAGTCAACTCCAGTCCCACTTCCCTCAGTGCACACTACTCAGCATCCTGCCAGTCCCTGATATTGGGTGCTGTTTCTTCTGCAGATGTCTGTCCTTGTTTGGAAGATGGATTCCAAGCTCTGCTTTTTGGCAAAGGCATTCATCTTTTTTCACAAGAGTATTAGTACCTTATCTCAGGAACAAGGCAAGTCAGTATGTTTAAGTTTTCTTCCTGTATAACCAGTTTGTTTACTTAAATTCATATTATTTAAAGTTTTACATGTGCATTTTTAAAACATGGAAATAGCAGGTAAATAATACTATTAAAGATTCCTCAGTGACCTTTTGTTTTATCCCTTAAAAACCTACTGATTTTTTCCCCTTTGCTGCCAAGCTTCTGTAGGCGATAAAGAAGACATTGTTCTGTAGCAGTTAGTTGATGGTCTCTTATTTTTATTTTTAATGTGTTTTTATTGAATATAGACAGTCTAGTTGTAAACCATGTAAATATTTTTATGATCTAAATATTTTATAAAATATTTTATCTAAATATTTTATAAATAACACTACCCTACCCAACATCTATAACATATAGTTCAACCACATATACAGACTTCCAAGAGGGAATAAGCAAGTTCACCAGAGACAAAAGATGGGGGGAATGGAAGAAGGAAGAACAGAAGGAAAGGGAGCAGGGAAGGTGAGTTCTGAGTAACAGTTTTTAATATTCCCTCGCAGATCTAGCTCAAACAGTTCCAGGAACAATTGCTAAATAGATCTCACTCACCTCTCATTGGTTAATCCTATTGCAAACCCAATTAACCATTACTGTCCATTATAAACACATTCCATTATTAATTTCCAGAGAGATGGCCACATCAGTCTCTTGCAGCAGAAACAATAAAGTCTTTTGGCACCTTAAAGACTAATGAAAGTAGTATGCCATAAGCTTTGGTGGACTTCATCAGATACATGAAGTGCTTTCTTGAATTGCAGGTACATCAGTATATATCTACATGTGCATATGTACCTGCAGAAACTCACAAATTAAACAAACCATTTAAAAACCATGTTGGGTGGAATGGTTCTTTGAATTAGGCAGCACCAGGCACTCCCTGCAAGTATTCCACAAATAACTGGGTCATACTTTAGTATATATTCACCTGTCAATAGCGCTCACATTTTAGCAGAGCCGGTGTAAGAGAGCACTGCAATCGAATGTGTGAGATCTGGATGCTGTTCTTAGTCAAGAACTCATTGTATGTAGATAACACTGTCCCTCACACTCATTTCTACTTCTGTAAATCACAAAAGAAATCTAATTTGCAGGGTGCTTTTCATGAGAATTAAAGTGTCATATTTATTAATAGTTTGGGGTGATGTTACAAGTAGTTTTTATTAGCCTCCCCATCTTGAGGTTGTGAGGGGCATTTGTAGGGAGTTGGAATGGCCCAACCAAGCTAACTGTCCTCTTTCAAGCTGCGATAAAATTCACTCAGAAGCCAGAGTGAGATGGAAGCAAAAGGGCCATTTGGAAACCAATCCATTGTAGCTCTCCCTATGCTACTATAGCAGGAAGAGTGAGGTGTGACTTGGAGGGAGGGGTCTGCTTTTACAGTGTTGATGCTTCCTTCCAGGTCAAGAGCAGATAGAAAGTGGAAACTGCTGAGTTTAGCATGCGGGGGGATTTGAGGGGCTTTATCTCAGGAATAGATTTGAGCAGCTGCTAAGCAAAGCAAGTCAGATTAAACTAAGAGGCAGGTCCTGCGGGTGTATTGCTCCAGACCCTTATTCACCTGTTCTCACTTCACATTGGCCAATACTGAACATCTGACCCCCCCCACCGGGTGGCAAAGTCCTCCCACCTACAAGGCAGAAAGTGGCTGGTGCTGGAAAGGGGCGGGAGCAGCCATCAATATTGAAACACCTCAAGGGTGCAAGACTAGGAAGGTTCTGTGTGGAATACTGCTGGGCTGGACAGAAAGGCCAAACCACAGCAGGACGTGCTGGAGGTCCCACGGAGGCTTGTCGGGATCCTCTCTTGCTGAACAAAAACGACGATGGGTGCAGGCGCCAGTGCAGAGGAAAAACACTCCCGTGAGCTGGAGAAGAAACTGAAGGAAGATGCTGAGAAGGATGCCAGGACAGTCAAGCTACTGCTTCTTGGTAAGTCCACCCCCACAGGCAGTTACTAAGGCTTTGCTCTTGTTGTGACTTCTCCCCCCTCGCTGACCCCCCTCCCAATACTCCCATTTCTTAGCACATCTGAAAGCTGGTGCTGCAGATGTTGGTGGTGAATGCATCTGTACCTTTCCAACAGCAGCTATTTGGATCCTCAAATTCTGAGGAAGCTGCCCAATGGCAGTGCTACAGAGCCACCAAGGCATTATTGCAACTGCTCCACCCCCCTTTTCCATCTCAGTGTGGGGCTTTGTCCAGTGGCATAGTGTGTGGTTCTTATAAGGCAAGGCTGAGTCCAAACACTGCACAGGAAAGGAGGTAGCAGTACGTACACACACACACACACACACATACCGTCTCCTGCCCTTAGCTGTGATGCCCTCATCATTGTGTGTACCTGCACCGCTTGTTTTCTGTGAAGCATTGCAGCTAAGCTGCCCATGGCCCAGATCATGTTATCTCTGCCATAAAGGTGAGCAGTGCTTAAAGCAATCTTAACCAAAGCCTTTGGGCCCAGGTAATCCTCCACAGCTCACTTGCGGCAGCACCAGCATAGATCCATGTCTGGAGGGAAGTTCATTATAAGGAAAGAAAGAAAAGACATGCCCTGTGAATTGATCACTCACAGGGCCACCATGATCTCGCAGCCCAAGTCAGCAAAGCTATTACGACAGCCCTGCTGTCACCATACTTGGAATAGTTATTTCCCCCTTCTACCATACCATGCTCTTCCCCTCCCTTCCCCAAACTTGGCATATATCCGTCAAAGTCTGGAAAATCTAAAAGAGGTAGATAGGCTTGTCAACTGACCCCAAACCCCAGCCTGGACTGCTCCTGGTCATTTAACTGCCCTTCAGTCTGCAGTGATTGGCAATTGAAGCTTTTCACAGCAGGGAGGTCCCAGCTACAATGGCTGGTTGGAAACTGGCAGCCCTAGATGATTCAAGGCCTCTCCCTGCTTATGGTTGTTTAATGTTGTATTCATCCCCAAAGTGTATTAAAAGCAAAACCGCTAACATGCTTCATGCATCTTACAGCTGCTAAGGCTAACACAGGCGGTTTGGATTGTGTATTCTAAACATATCCAGGACAGGCTGTGTGTCATATATAGCTCTGTCCTCCCAACATTGGACAATGGCCTGGGGTGGGGAGCAACAACCCGAGGAACTACCCCTGCTGCCCCCGTCCTTCACTCTGCCTCACCCACTTCACCTCACCATAAACCTCCCAGCATTTCTTGTAGATTTTGTGTCATAGATGGAATTAAGTTTTTGAGTCAAATACAGATTATAATCTCTTTTCCTTTCTATTTTTCCCTCACCAGGAGCTGGAGAATCAGGGAAAAGCACCATTGTCAAGCAAATGAAGTATGTGTGTGCACAGGCAGCTATTCCTTGCCCACTACAATAACTCTTAAAGAGTGATAGTGAAACTGTACTAATAGGAATTCCTTAGCATACCCAATTGCATTCTCATCTGGAAGAGACTGGTAATGCAGAAGCGCAGACTGCCCCCCTTCTTACAAGGCCACTTCACATACTATGTTTTTAGGTGCATACCCATGATGTTTTAAGTGAACACCTAAAAGCACAGTGTTTGTGCACAACAAACATGTTTGCACACACAAGTACATCCTTCAAGGCGCGGATTACTGCTCCCTGTAAAGCGTGTACTCGTTGCCAGCAGCTGGAGGGGAATGCAGTCAAACATGATGGGGAAAAACTGCTGGCTGGCTTTCTGCATTGTTTTTATCTCCATGGTAGGTAATTTCCTCTAAGAGTTGGGATAGGAAGAAGGGGAAATTAGCTGGTCACCTTCCCACCCGCAACTTTCCCTAGACCTAGAGACATTTCCTCCACACACACTGTTCCAAAGGTTTTTTTCTGGCAAAATATTCTGAAGCCATTTCTAAAATCTTTGCTCTTCATGGTGGATTTGCTTGACTCCCGTCTAACCAGACAGTACTGCTAAACTTTTCATGGCCCTGGAGAGACCTAAGCTGGTAGAGGCCTGTCTGAAACATGCAGCAGAATGAAAAATTGTTGTTGTTTGTTTGTTGTTAACAACAACCCACCCTTCACTCTGAAGTCTCAGGGCAGGTTACAGCATTAAAACACTGCAGTATAGAGTCATGTGCTGGAACGGCTCCAATGCCAAGCTAAGTGTCTGTCATCTCTGGCCTCTGGCCCCATTAGCTGGCCTCTCAGCAGTTCCCTCCCTGCCCAACATCCTTTAGCACACTAGTCAAGACCTGCTGGATTGATTTTCTGCCCTTACCTTTCACAGAATTATCCATCAGGATGGTTACTCATTAGAGGAATGCTTGGAGTTCATCTCCATTATTTACAGCAATACTTTGCAGTCCATGTTGGCCATTGTGAGGGCCATGGGCACGCTCAACATCCAGTATGGAGACTCAGCCAGGCAGGTGAGTCACTGAGGAGTGGACTTTCTCCCAATGGGAATAAAAAAAGGTAAAGGTAAAGGACCCCTGACAGTTAAGTCCAGTCACGAACGACTCTGGGGTTGCGGTGCTCATCTCGCTTTACTGGCTGAGGGAGCCAACATTTGTCCACAGTTTTTCCGGGTCATGTGGCCAGCATGACTAAGCTGCTTCTGGCGAAACCAGAGCAGTGCACGGAAACGTTGTTTACCTTCCCGCTGGAGCGGTACCTATTTATCTACTTGCACTTTGACGTGCTTTCGAACTGCTAGGTTGGCAGGAGCAGGGACCGAGCAACAGGAGCTCACCTCATCGTGGGGATTCAAACCGCCGACCTTCCGATCGGCAAGCCCTAGGCTCAGTGGTTTAAACCACAACGCCCAATGGGAATAGTCATCTATTAATTAATCTATTTATTGTTATCATAATCAGAGGCTGATTTAAAGGGAAGGGCATTGGGGTGCTTTATTGCACTTACGTTTGCCTCCTTTCTCAACTGCAGGATGATTCCCGGAAGCTGCAGCACTTAGCAGACACCGTTGAAGAAGGCTGCATGTCGAAGGAGATGTCTGACATCATCTGCCGGCTCTGGGAGGACACCGGCATCCAAGCCTGCTTTGAGAGGGCCTCAGAGTATCAGCTGAATGACTCGGCTGGCTAGTAGGAACCCATTGCTTACACCCCTTGAGGCAAAGGCCCCTTGAGGCAAAGTTGCCACAGGAGTGCAGTTCTATTTATTTCATTTATGAATGGCTTCCTATGAAGCATCTCAAAATGATTTCACAATGCAATAAAAACATCAGTAAAACAACTGCATATACAAAAACAGTTAAAACAATACACACAGAGGCAAAATTTGTAATCGAATGCATATAATGACTAAGGCTTTTTTTAAAATCCTCTTAGAAGGCTTGTTGAAAGAGGAAATCATCTTCAGCAGCCCCTGAAAAAGCAGCAGAGATGGCAACGAGTGGGTGCACCTGGAGTCACACATCTCTTCCCACTCAACTTACATAGTTGCATGTCTGGGAACTTTCTTAAGACATTTATATTTGTGCATCTCTGACCGAGAATATGCCTGCTCCATAGGCAAGCCCAGCAAGCATAGAAATGCAGGGGAGAGAACGTCCTTATGCTCAGCCACTCTTGGGCAGCCTTCACCTGCTGCAACTGGCAAGGTGCTTCCCTAAGAAGCAGAAACTTGAAAGCTAATTCAAGAAGGAAACTTCAGCTTTGCTGAAACTGAGCAGTACAGCAGAGTACTTAGCAGCCACCTTCCTGCTGCTGATTCTTTAAGAACAATGTTATTTTTTTTCTGATATAACCTGCCACTCACCTTGTCCAACGCACATGGCCACAGGAAACACAGGAAGCTGCCTTATACTTAGACCATGGATCCATTGGGCTCAGTATTGCCTAGACTTAGTAATGTCTCCACTGACTTGCAGAGACTCTTCAGGGCTTCAGGCAAGAGTCTCTTCCAGCCCTTCTTGGAGAGATGCCAGAGTTTGAGCCTGCCAGCATGCAGAGCAGGTGTTCTGCCCCTGAGCCCTGATCCTTCCCCATTGTGACTGCCCACTCTGAAGACCAGAGGTCTCTCAGGTCTAGTTCACATGGTAACCCCGGTACCTTTCTCTATTCACAGTTACCTGAGTGACCTGCCACGACTAGTGGCCCCTGGATATGTCCCCACAGAGCAGGATGTTCTCCGCTCCAGGGTTAAGACCACGGGCATAATTGAAAGCCAGTTTTCCTTCAAGGACCTCCACTTCAGGTATTGTATGACTGTAGCTGGCGGACAACCGACCAATAAGGAAGATTGCAAAAGAGGGTGGACCATGCATCTGTGGAAGCAGCTGCCATGGAGCAACTGGTACAGCATTGTAATGAAAGGCATGAGTTTTGACTCCCCCTCCCAATCCACCACTGGAACTCCCAATTCAGCCATGAACGGGCTGATTGGTTTTAGGCAAGCCGCTCCCTCCTGGCCTCCCCACTTCCACCTGTAGTATGATAATATTGACCTGCTTTATAGCACTGTGCCAATGTACGGAAGGGCTTTGGGCAATTAGGAAAAATCATTCCATAAGTACCAAGTATTATCACTATTAGTGCACTGTGGAGGGATGTAATTTAGTTAACCTCTCCTCCATTTTACATCATTCTGGGGACACTTTCAATCTTTCCTTTCTGTACACCAAAGGTCGAAGGACAATAAATCAGTATGGCAATAGGGGCTGCCATCTATTTAAGAGAGCCAGTGAGGTGCAGTGGTTGGGCAGCCAGCTGAGGTGGGGGCGGGGATGGTCCCAGGTTAAAATCTCCACTCAGTGAAGAAGAATCTCACTGGGTGACCTTGGGCAAGTCTGTATTGTTCAGATGAAAGTACCCCAGAGGGTTGTTGGAAGGAGAAAATGCAAGTTGAAAACTCTTGTTTCCTTTAATGGGAAAAAGGAGAGAGAGAGAAAGGTACATAATTTAAATATCTTGTACCTCTGTTATTCATGTAATGGATAGGTATACACTGATAGGTATACACAATGGTGTAGTTAGGTGATTTTAGATTTTGGGCTCAGTGGCCTTACCAGAGGGGGCGGAAGTTGTGTGTCTCTTTAGGTGGTCCTGTGTATCACTTCACTCACTTCAAACTCTGGGAAGCCATCTCTGCTGTGCTTCTCCCCTCCCCATTCTCACTCAGTCCCAGAGATAATAAATGCTCACCCGTCCAATTTGACAGTCAGCTCTTCATTCACCTCGCTGTTAAGGACCACATTTTGGGGCCCCTATGGCTCACTGCAGACCTTTCCCCATCAATTTGCTGTAACACATTGGGGGACTGCTGGGGAAGGCTGTTCAGAAGGGGCCTGTCTTAACTTCCTGGCAGGATGTTTGACGTGGGCGGCCAGCGCTCAGAACGCAAGAAGTGGATCCACTGCTTTGAAGGAGTCACTTGCATCATCTTCATTGCTGCCCTCAGCGCCTATGACATGGTCCTGGTGGAGGACGACGATGTGGTAAGTAAGACTGTTTAGACTTTGGCTGCCAGGATTTGTAAACAGGCGTGGTGGATTAGTGGCAGAGGTAGTGTGCTGGAATGGTTACAGTGTCAGACTGGGGAGATCAGTGTTCAAATCCTCACTAAGCCATGAAGCTCACTGGGCAAGTCACTCTGCTTAACCTACCTCAAAGGGTTGTTGTGAGAATAAGATGTGTGAAGGGGACAATGCCCTACAGCTGCCATGTGCTCATAGAAGGAAACATGGTGTATAAATAAGACATACCACATTTTCCCGTGTTTAAGATGATGTTTTTTTATTATAATTAAATGTTAAGAATTGGGGGTTGTCTTACACACGGATAGTGCAGAAGGGGCAATTAGTGGAGGCCGCGAACAGGAAATTGTCACCGGCAATAGGTAGGGTGATTGGTGGCTGTGGCAAGGCCTGTTGGCGATTGGCTGCTGCTCCAGCAATTGGGCGGGTGATTGGCGGTTGCTGGCGGCCAGTGGCCAGACAATTGGTGGCTTTGGCGAGGCGTGCGATTGGCAGCTGCGGTCCAGCGTCTGAGCGATTCCCCCCCCAAAAAAAATAGCTCAACATCTCTGGGCAATCCCCCCCAAAAAGCTGAACAACTCTTGGCAATTTCCCTCCACTTGGGGTCCCAAAAAATAGAAAAATATTGTAAGTGGTGCCGAGACTGAACTGGCTGTGGCATATCATGGTGAAATGACCTAAAGGGGATTAGGATAGTGTTACAGAATGCACCTTCTGTGCATTTAGGACACAGTTTTTGCCTACTGAAAGACAGAGGAGCAAAATTTCTGATAAAATCAGGTTTAGGACTATGGTTGAAATTGAAGGTCTTTCTAACCCTGCCTTCCCTTCCAGAATCGCATGCATGAGAGCCTGCACCTCTTCAACAGTATCTGCAACCACCGCTACTTTGCCACCACCTCCATTGTTCTTTTCCTCAACAAGAAAGACGTTTTCCTGGAAAAGATCAAGAAGGCACACCTCAGCATCTGCTTTCCAGATTACGATGGTGAGTTCCCAGCATGCAACGTCCACATTGGTGTGGCTGCAGCATCTTCTAGCAGGGGTGGGGCACTGACAGCCCCCCAGATTGTTTGATTCTAACTCCCATCAACCCTAGCTAGCATGGCCAGTGTTGGAGGGTTACGGGTGTTGCAGTCTAGCTCTTGGATAGCTCAGTTGGTTAGAGTGTGGTGCTGATAACACCAAGGTTGCTGGTTCGATCCCCATATGGGACAGCTGCATATTCCTGCATTGCAGGGGGTTGGACTAGATGATCCTCAGGGTCCCTTCCAACTCCACAATTCTATGAGCATCTGGAGGGCCACAGGTGTCCCATCCCTTGTCTCCTAGTGAGCAGAAATGCTGGAATTTGTATGGTAGATGCAGGAAGAGAGTTTTCTCTTTTTTAATTCTGAAAAAGGCTTCAGAAGCTGAACACCAGCTAGGATGACTAGTTTCAGACTGGTCTGGTATTTTTATCAAATAAGCATTAAGATAGAAATGGAAAATTGCATACATTTAGATGAAGTAAGGAAGAAATAAATAAATGACCAAGGGCTGTACCATCATCCCACCCGCCTTTCCAAGAAAGATGGTGGTACTAGATGAGGGCTATAATATCACAATGAAGCAAGTTTTAATTTCTTTATCTCCACTAAGGCTCCCTCTTGTCAATCTATAGGGTCAAATAATGCATTCGGTACAACTGACACCATACAAAGATGGCCCAAGGAACACATTATTTTTGCAGCTGGCCTAACCATGTTAGAATTCACGAGTTCAGCCATGTTGACTTTCTGAATGACACCCACTTCTATTATTTCATGGAGCTGTTAACAACACTCCTCTATTTTCTTGGGTGGGTGCTGCATTAATCATGTGACTGGGGATGGGGAGGGCCGCAGGCGGGAATGGGAAGAGTTGGCCCTTTGTGCCCCCAGTGGAGAGCTTGGCGCTGTGTGTGCTTGGTGCTGTCTTGAACTTTTATTACAAGGAGAAAATAGATGGAGTATTTCATTTGCTCCCTTGGAGCAAAAGGAACAAGTTACTTTCTGTAATCTATGGATAATATCTTGCAGGGAGAGAAGGTGGGTGTTCCTTTTGTGGAAAAACCCAAAAACAAACATGTTTTGGGAAAGATGCCACTAGGGGGCCTCGGTGCTCTATGAAACATGACACTCCTCTGCCACGTAAACCAGAACCCGGCATCTCCAGTGATCTTCCAAGGGCTGTGTGACAAACAGAACTTTTTTTTATAGTTTTCACGCTTCTCTCTTGCCTATTATTCCTCATTTTAGTCTTTACAATTGCTTTCCTCCAGCTCCTACCAAATGCAGGCACTTCAAATGTGCTGTGCTTGGTGTGGTCATGGTTAAAAAGCTGAATGCATGCAAAACTCCTCTTGCCCCCCCCCCTTTTTAAGGAGCCATTGGATGTTGCAAATAGAGAGGGAGGGTGGCTTAACCAATCCCCCTTTGGCCATTTTCTTGCTCAAAATTGCCCCTAACTGTCTTTTCACCCACAGTGAAAAAGTCAAGAGTTGGGACTGATGCCCAAACTAGGAGCAATGAGAGCATCTCTTTACCTTGGGTTCTGGTCCAAATCCTGTCTAAAGCAGGGGACACTGGCCTAGCCTTTAGCAGGGAAGCAAGGGTCTAGGCTAACCCTGCCCCACTTACCTCCCTGACAGATGCTTTTCTCCTCAGCTACTGCAGTGAGTAGCAGCAGTGAGTTCAGCTGGAAGAGAAGTACTGGGTGGTTAGAGGGAAGGTTTTGCTCCCCTCATCTGCACACCACTTCTGCTTTCAATACTGGCCCCTCAGCTCCCTACTTGGTATATGTGATTGGAACTGACAAACAGACCTGATGTCACATCCAGTTTTACCCTTCGCGTGAAATTTGTATTATTTTAGGCCCAAATATGACACGTCGTTCCAATAAGAAAAATATCTGGAAAACCCTGGGGTTATCAAAATATTAAACTTTTTAATAAAAAAGCATGATTATTTGAATCCAAGAAAGTTCTAAAGTACCATTTGAAAGCCTAGAGAACCCTGGAAAGCTGCACAAACTGGAAAGCCCCACACCCCTTTCACCAAATGAGCAAGTTTTTAGGAAGAAGCTCTCTTACAAATGTCAGATGAGGTTTATATGAAGGACAAGGGCCCCTAAGATATGCAGAATCAGAAGTTACCTGGGGAATTACAGAACATTGAAAGGGATGTTCTGTGAGCCACAGAAATGTGAGGTACAGAGCACTTCCCACAGAGGAACTTTTGCTATAATTATTGCTATCATGTCTAACAAAGTGATTAAGCTGCAGCAGCTGCCGTGCTCTGCATGGCAGAGATTGGGATAAATTCTACGCAGCCTGAAGTCCAGCAGGTGTCAGGTTTAGCATCATGGACAGGGAGCACGTCATAGTTGTGTCCAATCTCAACTTGCCCCAGGAGGCATATATCACAATAAATAATTAGAGCCCTGCCTCATTTGTGGATGGAGGATGATTCCAAGGCAGGAGGTATCATGTGGAAATGTGTAGAGGCAGATTTTTAAAAACCAATTCCTAAGTGAAGCTGCTCTCTGATACCATCCCAGCATCCGTGTCTATACAGGGTCCAATACCTACGAGGATGCCGGTGCCTACATCAAGGTGCAGTTCCTGGAGCTGAACATAAGGAAAGATGTGAAGGAAATCTACTCACACATGACCTGTGCCACAGACACCCAGAATGTCAAGTTTGTCTTTGATGCTGTCACTGACATAATCATCAAAGAAAATCTGAAGGATTGTGGCCTTTTCTGACTGCAGGTGGGTTTTTCTCCCAGGTTGTTCAACTCTATGCAGTGGGTAAGCCAAGACCCCACTTTCCTAGTGCAAATGGTCAGGCGGAACCTGTTGTATTATTTGATTGTGCAATGAGAAGTAAAGCAGCCTTCTGCAGCAGAGCAAGGCAGACTCTTGGCGTCACCACTGAACCATTTGGGGGGGGGGGGTAGAGTGGGAGGCCTGTATCTCAAAATTGGATGATAAATACCTTGCACATAGAAGGTCAAAGATCACAGTTCAGTGTCTGACATCTCCAGTTTGGTAGTAGGTGATGTGAAACCACGTTGGTCTGAGGCCCTGAAGAACTGCTTCCAGGGAGAGCAAATGAGTTTTAGACAAGCAACTTGGCCTAGTAAGCAATGAATTCCCATGGTCCCTTAACAACAACAGAGGGCAAGCGCCCAAGCCCTGCTTGTGGGAATCTGTGAGGAGTTGGGTTTGCCGATATGCAGAGCAGGATTCTTGCTCTGAGCCAGCAAAGCTATTCGGTTGCTAGGATAGGGTAGGCCAAAGTGGCTTTCAAGGAAAACTAGTTGCTAAGTGGGATCTTTGTTCCTCACTTTGTACACCTTTTCTCTCTCTAGGTATTCCTGGCCCTTCTGGTGAAATGCAGCATTGCAAATTCAGCAGTGTGAAAGGGAAGCTTTCCCCTCACCTGAGCTTATGCACTCATTCGCATCCGTTCTTGCATGCTGGCTGGCTATAGTGATCCACAGATGGGGAAAGGAGTTTCTCCCTCATCTGAGCTAAGCCAGACAAAAGATTCTCCATCCCGTCATGGTCGTTTAATTGACCCTCTGGAGTTGGAACTCTGAGATTACTAGGCAGCTTCCAAATACACCCCAGGAGTGTTGACCGCTACCTCTTCCTTGACACCCAGGAAAAGCAGGCAAGAGCTTCATTCTGGTAACTCACTTTCTACCTAAGCCACCTCTGTGGTGTGGGAGTTGTTAAGCATGTGTGGAGTTTCCTCCCATATTGGGCTTGTTTGCGGAGTCCTGACAGTTTAGGAAACCTTTTTCTTTCTGTCCCCTTTGATTTCTGCTCTTGTAAATAGTGGGCACTTGCTAGGCTTCTTATAGGTATACTAGGGCACTAACACACCTGTGCACACAGGGTGCTGCAGTAGCACGAGTAGATGGAGAGAGATTCGAGCCTTTACACAAGGTGCAAAAGCTTGAAAACCAAACTCCTGGCCAAGGCACAAGTCAAAATCCTAGAGCTATCCTTAATACAAGATTTCAGTTTTAATTTTTGCTTAAATGGCATTTTCTCAGCATGGTTCTCTAGTGAAGCCTTTTCTTTGTTTCACTGGAGGGCTCTGTAATTATCTGTAGCAGCACCAACAGTATGTGCCCAAACACAGTGACCTCACAATATCACAAATAGCTGGTTTTATCAATAAAGTAATAAGCACATTTTTTTCTTTATACTTTATCTCTTTCGTTTCTAGTACTTAGAATCATTTATCTATTACCCTTTCTTTAGCTTGGAGTGATCTGTATTTAGTTACTAGTTCTTAGACCCCAAAGTCCATGTGTTTGTGTTAACTACCAACCATTACTCATGAATTAGGATGGTTTCATTCTAGAAGAAGAGATCAAGATCCTCTTTAACCATCAGCAAAGATATACACAAAATCATGAGGTTGTCTTGAAAACCAAGAGCTATTTTATGTGATCCTAATTCACCTGCTGGGTCATTCAGGAATTACTATCCCAATTCTTTTGGCTGGGGAGGGGGAGACCTCTATAAGACCCTACAAAAGTGTATTTTAAAATAGAGTTGTGCTATAAAACAACATACTTCACACCCATGTATATATGGCTGTGGTTATTTAAAGCATGCTGAATGGGAAAGTACATTAAAAATGGCAGTTATGGTACATTAACTGGAGGCTACAGGAACTGTGCAAAAGGAGGCCGCACCAGCCATGGATTCTGCACAGATCCCAGCCAGTCAATGTTCATAGTTCCTAAATAATGTAATGGCATATGCAGATTCAGTAAACAGGGAATTCCACACATTTTCTGATCAGTGTGTTCACTTGGACACTGAAAATTTACAGGTCAACATAGATTTATATAACACATTATACACAACCTGAGAGAGCAGGCATATTGACTGCACAATGGACACAATTCCTTTTTCATCTTTCTATTATATGCACGTTTTCCACATCTGAATATGCACAACAGCTGCTTTCCCTGCACATTTGGTTTATGTGCACACTCCCTGCCCCAACCCCAGCACCACCAAAAAAAAAAAAGGATAGTTCCTCATGGTATTTCCAAGCAGAGGTCTCTAATGGGAACCTTGAGAGATGGCTTTCACAGAGTTGCTCAAGTTAGGAAAGGTTCTTATTTGCTGTCTATGATATGTCTCTGGCTTCCTCCCAGCCAAGCGAGGAAGCCAGTGGTGTAGTCCACACCATGCAGCAAATGGTTACATACATCCCCCACTAGAAAGCCCCTAATCAGCTGTGGGGACTGGGAATGGCAGGTGATCTGCTGCATTGGACACTGCTAGAAAGGCCATGAGCCCATGTGTTATCTTAAGACTTTACTCATTCACGCTTGTTCTGGGAAGTGCGATTTCCAAGGGTTGTGGCTGATCATAAACTTAAACAAAGCCATGTGCCTGAGTTTTATCTAAACCAAACCACTTGCAAACCTTGAAGTGCAGATGATGCCAGACTGATGGAACGCCTTTCAGAGCCATGTGCAAAGCCAGCTCTTCGGTGCTGTGTTGTGTTTTCATGGCCCCAGTTTAAAGCAAAATGGTCTGGCGAAATCCATTTGGCAATGCAGAAGTCCTCACTGGTGCGTGCAAGAGAAGCAATGCAGAGTAAACAGGGCTTTCTTTCTACTTTTTATTATTTCAAACCGTGTGAACAATTTGGTAAAACATTGTGATAAAAGCTAGGCTGCGTCTTGACGGTTACTAATGGCCCCGGTGCCCATCGACTGCCCGGCAGGCAGGACCGCTTAACATACAGCAGTGTTTCCTCAACTGGTACTACAGTTAGAGCTAAGAAAATACATTAAAATAGACCTGACATTACAGCAACCTCAGGCCCTGGGGTGGGGCACAAAGGAATGGAAAGAAGTCCTTAGTGGAATCTTAGCCCTTAGGAACCTAATTCTGTGGCCAGGAAGAAAAGGTGTTTTAAACCCTTGGGCGCTGCCCTCTCATAAAAAGCTTGGCCTGGACCACAGCAGAAAGGGAGAAAAGGGCTGGGGGGAAGAGAAAGGGGGAGTCCATTTTATGCTAATCTAAAACACAATGCACATTGAAGCAAACTAAGAAACAGATGTAAACATACAGACACCCTCAAGGCACAAAATTTACTAGAGAAGATGATGAGCTCATGTTGGGCAACTCAACTGTTTACTACATGACATTTTAAATAAGGGTTTCTTTTTTAAAAAATGGTTTTAAAAAAAATAGGTCAACTTTTCCTGCACAAGTTGGCTTCTGGAGGAATGTTTTTTTCGTTTTCTTGCCAGTCTGTGCAAATCATGGAGGTAGGAGCTGAGAAGCTTGCTCCATGGCAAGAGCTCCACCTGTTGGAAGGTGAAAAACAAATGGACAGTGGTTTGCTTTGGCAGAGCCAGACAGAGGTTTGCTTGGACCATTTGCCTTTAAAAAAAAAAGGAAAGGAAAAATAATTAAAAACATGTCCAAAGCCCCTTGACCGGTTACCTTCTGCACTTCAGCTTTAAAAAATAAAAATAAAAATGGACATACATGGAAATGTTACAGCTATGGCAGGCCACCAATCATTGGTGCTTCAGTAAGGCTTTGTGGGCACAGGGATAGGATACAAGCAGCCTGCAAGAGGCACCCGGGACAGCACAGAGCAGGGGAAGCAATGGAAACTGTCCCTCGGACAGGCAGAAACTCCAAAGTCTCATCATTAGGGAAATGAAAAGGAATGGAACAAAAATGTAAGAAGCAGAAGTCATTAAATGGTGCAGTCCTCCCTTCATCAAAACCAGCCTCTTCCTCATATGGAGCAGTTCAAGTAATCCTGCAAAAGGAGAGAGCACAGAAAAGTGAATCAGCTCAAGCTGGAAGAAGAGTGCACTGGCCACAGGCATTGGCAGGACCCCTGGAGCTGCTTTTGGAGTCTGCTGCCTCTGATTTTCTGCACATCTGTCAGAACGGAAGTCAATTATCCGAAGGAGTCGGACAGATATACACAAACATTGCTCACTTCAGTGGCCATGATGGACCCAAGCAGCATTCAGCTTGCACCACATGTGCAACCATTGATTCAGTACCTCCCCAGTCTGTGAGCTGCATGTTAGTTTGTAATATACCCAGAGAAAGAAGGCTTCATCCATCATTTCTTAAACACATAAGAGAGCCTGCTGGATCAGGCCACTTATTATTCATAAAATTTGTATACTGCCCATCATCAGAAGTAGGAGGCCCAGGGTTCGCTCTGATTGTTTTTCTAGAAATACGCAATCGCTTTGAGGTCCTTTCCCCTAGCATGGAAGACGAAGAGCAGACTCCATTTGAGGATCTCTCCCTCATTACAGTCGATCAGGTATATGAAGACGAGGAGCAAAGGCAGTCCTCTGGGAATGTCCAGGCAACCTTGGAACCGACAGCTCACAGAAGAACCCCGACCAGACCTAAGAGGAGGCGTGTAGTGGTGATAGGGGATTCCCTACTGAGGGGAACAGAAGCAGTGATCTGTGGGCCTGACAAGATGTCTCGGGAAGTGTGCTGTCTCCCCGGGGCTAAGATCCAAGATGTAACTGAACGACTGCAAGGAATCATAAAACCCACTGACAAATACCCCTTCCTCTTGGTTCATGTGGGAACCAATGACACTGCAAGCAATAGCCTCCAGAAGATCAAAAGAGATTACGAGGCTCTGGGCAGGAAATTGAAGCAATTAAATGCACAAATTGTCATCTCATCTGTCCTCCCAGTTGAACGACGTGGCCCAGGGAGAGAGGGAAAAATAGTGGAAGTGAACAACTGGCTTCGCAAATGGTGCAAACAGGAACGGTTTGGATTCTTAGATCACGGAATGCAGTTTCTTGAAGATGGACTTCTGGCAAGCGATGGGCTGCACCTCACAACGGTTGGGAGGAATGTTTTTGCAAAAAATCTCAGAAACCTCATCAGGAGGGCTTTAAACTGACTAATGTGGGGGAGGGAGACAGTGCTCCTGAAGGTAGGAGTCTATCAATTGATGAAGATGATCATCCAAATGTCATAGACCGAATGGAGCAAAGAGCATGCAGACCTAGTGGTGGGAGGAGAAAATCCTTAAATAAGAGACACGGGGGAATGATTAATGGACTTCAATGTCTGTACACTAATGCGCAAAGCATGGGAAATAAACAAGATGAGCTTGAGCTCCTGGTACAGCAAACTAAATATGACATAATAGGAATCACTGAAACCTGGTGGGATAAATCCCACGATTGGAATGTAATAATGGAGGGATACAATCTATTTCAAAGAAACAGACCAGACAAGAAAGGAGGAGGAGTGGCGTTATATGTCAGGGATGTGTATACCTGTGAAGAGATCCAAGATTTAGAACCTCAAAGCCAAAGTGAGAGCATTTGGGTCAAAATTAAGGGAGAGAAGAATAACAGTGACCTCATTGTGGGAGTTTACTATAGATCCCCAAGCCAAACGGAGGACATAGATGATGCCTTCCTGGAACAGATGGCCAAGCATGCAAAAGGAAGGGAGATAGTAGTAATGGGGGACTTCAATTACCCGGATATTTGTTGGATGTCAAACTCAGCCAAGAGCATAAGGTCAAACAGATTCCTCACTGCCCTTGCAGACAACTTCATTGTCCAGAAAGTGGGAGAAGCAACAAGAGGAACAGCCATTTTAGATCTGGTCCTAACCAATGTTGATGACCTGGTTAGTGGGGTAGAAGTGGAAGGATCATTAGGCGCGAGTGATCATGCTCTTCTGAAGTTTACTATACAGCGGAAAGGAGCAGCCAAGCATACTAGGACTCAATTTCTCGACTTTAAGAAAGCCGACTTCATAAAGCTTAGGGAAGTGCTGGGTGAGATCCCATGGACAGTAATACTAAAAGGAAAGGGAGTTCAAGATGGCTGGGAGTTTGTTAAGAGGGAGATAGTAAAAGCACAACTTCAGGCAATACCAATGAGACGGAAACATGGAAGGTGCCTAAAGAAGCCAGGGTGGCTATCTAAAGAACTTTTAACTGAGTTAAGATTAAAAAAGGATGTGTACAAAAAATGGAAAAGGGGGGAAACCACCAAAGAGGAATTCAAACAAATAGCCAGCACGTGTAGACACAAAGTCAGAAAAGCTAAAGCACAAAATGAACTCAGGCTTGCTAGAGAGGTTAAAAGCAACAAAAAAGGCTTTTATGGGTATGTTCGTAGCAAAAGGAAGAACAAAGAAACCGTGGGGCCACT